TTCAGTTTGTTCCCAGAGTAGGTTCCAGCAATAGCACAGCTAGGAAAATGCTTTCCCAGCTCACAGCCATGCTGGGTATTGACATGAAATTGAGCTATGTGTTGATTTCCTTAAAAATCCACCTGTAGTTTCAGCTGGATACAACACTGATTTTCTGTTGTGCAGTGTTGTGGTGCACTGTTAAATACCTGCCACCTTCCACCCAAGCGGTGGATGAAGTGATTCTTTATAAATAGCTTTTAAATCCGCTAGTAGAGCACTTTAAGATCTTCAGATGAAAGCTGCTATATAAATATCAGTCATTATTATCATTGCATTGCAGGAAAGCACTGGGGAAACAAATATTTCCTCAAAAACCAATTCTCCAGGCTCATGGCCCTGGACATTCAGGTAGAACTATGGTGATGTGTGTAGTAGGAAGGCTTAGATAAAATAGATAATAAACTGGCTACCCTCTGTCTAAAGGCGTTTCTCCCTTTGCAAACAGTTCCCCTTTTCCATTTGCAATGTGTATTTGCCACCTTTTGTGTCACAGCGTAGCACCATCCCAACTATTGACTAATCTTGAAAATTCCCCAAAAGACTTGAAAATTGTTTAATTTCCTGTATCCTACTTCCACGCCCCCTCCTCTACTCACACAAACATCAAACCCTTCCTCTGCTACAACTTGCACATAAGTCTGTCACGGAGGTCACAGATTGCGTAACTTTCTGTGACCTCCGTGACTTATGCAGCAGCTGGTGTGGCTGGCTCCGGGGCTGCCCAAGCAGATCAGGCAGCCCCTGGGCCAGCTGCACCAGCTGCTGCTGGGGCAGTTTGGGTATGGACGGGGCTCAGGGCTGGGGCAAGTGGTTGGGGTGCAGGGTGCTGCTTACCTTGGGGGCAGGGGCTCCCCACAAGTGGCTAGTGTGTCCCTGCAGCTCCTGGGCAGAGGGGCCAGGGAGCTCTGCACGCTGCCCCTGCCTCCACAGCTCCCATTGGCTGCGGTTTCTGGCCAATGAGAGCTGCATAGCAGGACCTTGTGGCGGGGGCAGTGCATGGAGCCGCCTGGCCTTCCCTCCCCATAGGAGCTGGAGGGACATGCAGAACCGGTAGGGAGTCTGCCAGTCCTGCCCCCACTCCACCCCTTCTCCAAGCCCCTGCACACTCCTGTTCCTGCCCCACCTCTTCCCACCCCTGCTCCCCCCCCATCTCCATTCCACCCCTTCCACCAAGCCCCGGCTTCCACCTCCTCCCCCCGAGTGATGCCAGGAGCTGTGGGGGCGGAGCAGGGCAGGCTGGGGCTGCGTTGCTTACTGCTGCCAGCACCAGGCTGCTAAATCCCCAGGCCGCCCTGGACCCCGCGTCCTGAAATGCAGGGCCCACCAAAGCACAGGGCCTGGGGCAGTTGCCCCAGTCGGTCCTATGGACGAGACGGCTCTGGTCATCAACAAAAATGAAAAACCGGTTTCCTGTCAGAGAAGAGCTGTATATCTATCTACCTGTTTACATGTGAAATTAGTGTTGTCTTGTTCACAATGGGTCTCCCATCACTAGTCTGAACTGAATGCAAATAAAGGGTTGTGAGGACATCAGAAAGAAACCAACAGAGAAAAACAGCTTGGGGGAGAGAATCTTATTTGGTGGTACAGATTAAAGATCTGCCTGAGTATATCTGAGCGATAGAGAAGACACTCAGGCAGCCTTCACTAAGTAAGAGAAGGACATCAGTTTTCTTCATGAAAAAGGGGTTTCAACCAGCCTTGGATGAAAATGCTGAAGAGGACTTGGGGTGAGATAAACTTCTTTAGAGTAAACTGTTAGTTAAGTTTAGTCTCTAGGAAGCAAGTTATGATTTTGCTTTATATGTAGCCATTTGTTTCCAATATACTTACTCACTATTACTTGAATCTCTTTTTTGATAACATAGTTATAGTGAAAACAAGAGTAAATTTAACTAAGCAAACTGATAGTCCTAAACTGAATCTTACAAGCTTCAGTGTACTGTTCCTTTGGGAACAGCAGGCCTGGTGATTTTGGGAGTGTTCAGTGGATAAAGGGCTGGATGCTCCAGAGAATGCAGTGAGAATTCAGGGGTTGGTGTGTGTCTATCACTACCTGTACAAAGAGAGCAAGGCCTGGAAAGTGGTGTTTTGCTGCTAGAGGCTGGTGGTTTCAGGGTACTGACCCACAACGGGCACAGACAAGACTATGCCTCACAACCCTGGGTACCCCTAGGGAGCATCACAGGAGAGCATATGGGGGTATCTGCAAAGGCTGGCATTTCCAGTTGCTGCTGGGAAACCAGATGACCCCTGGATTCTTTTTGTTTAGATTAAAAGTTAATTAATGTAAGTTACTCTTCCCTTGCAAATATTTAAGAGGTTTAATATTTAACTTCGTTAACATTTGCTATTATCAGGGTTTTCAAGTGCTGTGTGTTGCCATGTGTCACGGACTCATAGGTCATGCCCACTCTTGGCCCCTTACAGTCCCTGGGGGGAACCCTCTTCAGTGTAAAAAAAAAAAAAAAGGAGTACTTGTGGCACCTTAGAGACTAACAAATTTATTTGAGCATAAGCTTTTGTGAGCTACAGCTCATGTTCAAACTGGACAGTCTCTACGTAAAAGAATAAATGGACACAAATCAGATGTCAAAATTATAACATTCATAAACCAGTCGGAGAACACTTCAATCTCTGGTCACAATCACAGACATGAAGGTCGCTATCTTAAAACAAAAACTTCAAATCCAGACTCAGCGAGAAACTGTGAATTGGAATTCATTGAAATTGGATACTATTAATTTAGGCTAAATAGAGACTGGGAGTGGCTAAGTCATTATGCAAGGTAGCCTGTTTCTTCTTGTTTTTCCCCCCCCCCTCCAGATGTTCTGGTTTAACTTGGATTAAACTTGGAGAGTGGTCAGTTTAGATGAGCTATTACCAGCAGGAGAGTGAGTTTGTGTGTGTATGGGGGTGGGGGGATGTGAGAAAACCTTGATCTATGCAGGAAATAGCCGACTTGATTATGCAAAGAGTTGTCACTTTGGATGGGCTAGCACCAGCAGGAGAGTGAATTTGTGTGGGGGGGTGGAGGGTGAGAAAACCTGGATTTGTGCTGGAAATGACCCACCTGTTGATCACTTTAGATAAGCTATTACCAGCAGGACAGTGGGGTGGGAGGAGGTATTGTTTCATATTCTCTGTGTGTATATAAAGTCTGCTGCAGTTTCCACGGTAAACATCTGATGAAGTGAGCTGTAGCTCACGAAAGCTCATGCTCAAATAAATTGGTTAGTCTCTAAGGTGCCACAAGTACTCCTTTTCTTCATCCTTCTCGGGGTCCACTCTTGGGGGTTAAACCCCTCCACCTCTTGGAACCACACCTCTCTGAACCTTTAGCACACCTGTCTCTCGCTGTGGGCCCCCTCAGGGAGTCCACTCGCTCTGGAACCCCAGGGCCTCCACTCCCAGAGGGAATAATGCAACCCTGTTCTCTAGACTGGAGCGACTCTCATTCAGTGTAAAACAGGAGGGTTTATTGAGTGTCTGAACACAGCATAGGAAACTCTCAGGGCCCTCAGGCCTGGCCTCCCTCAGCACAGTACATCTAAGTCTCCCCTACATCCACATGGGCTCTCTTTCTCTCCCTCTCCAGCTCAGAGACCTCCTGCTTTCCAGCTGGGCATCCAATATCACCTGCTCCCAAGCCCCGCCTTTCTCCTTTGTCTTTTGCCCAAGTAAACAGGGTCGCCTGGGCCTCCTTTCCTCTCAGCCATCCTTTGTTCCCCACTAGCTGGACCCAGCTGGCCAGGTCACTGGGGTCCTCTCTCTGCAGCCCATTGTCTTCCCACTGGCCAGAACCATCTGTGTCGGCCGAGCTGGGCCTCCTGGTGACTTGGTCACCAATCGCTGGGGTATCTATTCTCCCGGCCGTTGGCTGGGGTCCCAAGTTCCGTCGCTGGGCCTCTGTAACAACAAACTCCCTCTCCCATCACCTTGTTAAACCAGTAACACCCAGGGAAACTGAGTTCCACCCCCTCTGTATGCAAACTGTTGAAAAAACCAAGAAAATACCCCCATTTCATCACACCATGTCTTGTAGGAGACGTAAAGAAAAGACTCTAAAAGTCATAGTTTTGATCTATTAAGACATTTGTAACAGTCACTGGACTCTGTAACCAATCTTCTCATGGGAACAAAATGCTTACACATTATTCATTTCACAATAACACCTAGAAGCAGAAAGCATGGCCAATAGTTATTGACTCTGGTGGGAATAATGAGGTTTAAACAGGATGGCCTCTTGGTACTTACTAATGGAACTATCCTTTATTCATACCCACTGTTCCTTGTCCCAGATTGGTGTTTAAATGGAGGCTGGTACATTGCCTCCTTATTTTGTCTGAGCTGTCCTTTGTGTGGTAGATTGATTCTGTCTGGCTCTGGGATGATTTTCCAGTGATAACCTGGGGCTCAAAGCCAAGTTGAGGACTAGGTTAATCATTACTGTTTCTGGCTGCTGTGTGGTGTCTTTTTGCTATTAAAAATGATACACATCACAAGACGCATGACATTTTCTGTAAACTGTGATACTCCCTCTTTTCCTCCCCTCCCCATACTGTGGCTTTGCTTATGGGACATCTTAAAAGTTCTTAAGAGTGTGTTGTGCCCGTGTGCTGGTTCTAGGTTAGCCAGGGATTAGAGGCTGAGGGGGCCAGACGGGATCTTTGTGACCACCTTGTCTGACCTCCTGTATAACACGGGCTATAGAACTTCCCCCAACATAGGACCTATAGCAGATCTTTTAGATCAACAGCCAGGGCATGGCAGGGGCCGTCGCCCCGTAGTGATTCTAATGGGAACAGGGGGTAAGCGGAGGGCCTGCACAGCTCCAAGGGGTTGGTAGGAGATGCACCCGTTCAGCGCTGGGTGCCATCTACTCAGTGAGTGACAGGCTAGGCCAGAGGGGCACATCCCAACCAACCCTGGGTGGGCGGCCACAAAAGAGTGCACGGACCATGGAGACAGGCAGTGCCCCCACCCCATCCCCATCCCCATGGTGGTGCTACCCCCAGGGCGCTGTGAGAGGCAGGTTGGTGGGGCCCTGGGGGACAAGCTGGCACTGCTTCTGCCCAGGTTGCAGCCAGCGAGCGACCATCCCCGTGACCCCACCAGGTCTCGCACGTCCAGCCCCTCAGCGGGCCCCTCCCCAGGAGGGGAACGCGCCAAAACCCCCCTGAGGGGTGGGGGGGGCGTGTCCCGCGGGCCAACGGTCTCATTCGCGGGAGTGCCGGGCCGGCCGCTGGGGCGTAACGGTCACTTAGCCTGCCCGGTCCCGTGCAGTCCGCTGGTGGCCACCGCTGCCTCCCTCGTCCTCGGAGCCGCTATGGCGGGGGGTCTGGATTCGCTGGAGAAATGCCTGGAGCGGCACCTCCCCCCCGAGGAGCTCGGCGAAGTGAAGCGGATCCTCTACGGGAGCCTGAGCAGGTGCGGGAGGGACTACAGCTCCCAGCAGCCCCTGCGCCGGCGGCCCGCGTTGCAGTGGGACTGAGGCCGGGGTGGGGGGCGCCTTAGCTCGGGCGGCGTAACCGAGCCGGGAGGAGGGGGCGTGGCCGTTGCTGGAGGCCTTTGGGCCTCAGGTTTGGCTTGAGGGGTGGTGGCCGCGCAGCCTCCAGCAGCCGCCTTGTCCCGCCTGGCGGTTGGCAGGCGCGCGGCGCCCGCGCTCGCGCTCGCGCTGCCCACCCGCGCGCGCGCCCTTGATTCCGCTCCTTTGCCGTTTCAGAAAACTCGCCTTGCCGGCGGCGGCTCTGTCGGCCGCGGGCCAGAGGGCGTTTGAGCTGCAGGGCTGTGGATTCGGAGCGGCGCCCGAGCAGCTGAGGCAGCCCCGCGTTGTCCGAGTGGGGCTGGTTCAGAATAAAATCCCCCTGCCCACAGATACACCCGTGGCGGAACAGGTACAGTCACGGGCTCTGGGTCAGCCCGCTCCAGCTCCTCCGCTGGATCAACACCTGTCATGAGCCTGGCTGCTTAAATTCCCAGCTCTGTGACACTGAAATCATGGACTCCTTAGGGCCTGTCTTCACTACCTCCCCCATCCCCCCAGTGGCACAGCTGCAGGGATGGATGTAGCAGGTCTGGGAAAGACACACTGTGTTGACAGGGGAGCGCTCTCCCATGGAGGTAATTACTCCACCCCACTGAGAGGAGGAAGCTGTGTCGGCAGGAGATAGGCTTGCCAGCTTTGGTTGGCCATATTCCTGGAGGTTTCCTCACATGACATCATCTTTTAATTAAAGATTAATTCCTGGAGACTCCAGGACAATCCTTGAGGATTGGCAACCCTAGAGGAGAGCATCCCACCCCTGAGCGATGTAAATTATGATTTTAGTGGTACTATAAACAAGCTCTTAGCGAGACTGGTCTTGTGTCTCATTACAACAGTAAGTAACCCCTTAACGCTTCTTTGTCCAGTGATTGCAGAGGTGATTTTGTGCACATTGCAGAGAAATTGTGCACATCATCCTGAAGGATCTCTTGCAATGTGTTAACTCCTCATATTTCGCAATCTGTTCTACCTTGTACTGAGCTGTGACACTCTGAGTCCAGGTCTACATTAGAGACCTATATCGGTATAACTGTGTTGCTTAGGGGTGTGAAAAATCCACACCCTTGAGCGCTACTGACCTACAATTCTCTTCCACCCCCCCTGCCCTCTCCCGGGTAGACCGTACTACATCGACGGGAGAGCTTCTCAAGGAGGTGGATTAACTACGCTGCTCTCTCTTTGGCATAGGAACATCTTCACTAAAACGCTACCACAGCATAGCTGCATTACTGTACGTGAGACCAAGCCCTGAGTACCTTTCCCAGACCTCTGCGTATCTCAAAGCTTGTCTCATTCACCAACAGAAGCTGTTCCAGTAAAAGATATTACCTCACCCCCCTTGTCTTTCACATGTCACACTATCAGTTCTGCATTTCTTGTGTTGTCCGCTCTCAGTTTTGTGGCCTATGTTACCTAATGTCCTTGGATTTGACTTGTTGAATGGTAAATGGCCAAGAAGTCTTGTTACTCAAAGAAGAACATGCAGCTCCATCAGAAAATCTCATGTGTATTGTTTACTTATTGACTCGCCCGAGCTATTTGTAGTTTTCTTGAAGCTAAATATTTTAGTTGCTGGCTTTCTAAGCTAAAAGCCTTTACCTGTCAAATGAACCAGAAAGGTTTCATGTTCAGAGAATTGAAAGTTGATGATTGCAGAATGCAGAGTTGGTGATTTGTATAAATTCTACGCTCTAAGACTCTTTATACAGCAGTAAGTCAAAGGTCTGAGGGGAGTCTTTCACCAGAAGAACACTGGCATGTCTGTGATACAAGATGCACAGGTGCAAGTTTTATGTAAATCTATGAAGTCTTTTTAAAAGCAAAATAAAGGTGAATTCCACATTTGTGAAATATGCTAGACCAATAGTCCAATTTATTCACAGGGCAGAAATTTCACTCAACACTGTATTTTGGAGAGAGAGAGTAGCTCATTCTCTGTGTTAGTCAAGTTCTTGCTTTCTCTGTGGTGTCTGCCAAAAAGAGTGCCAGTTGCTGCCATTTGTTATGTGGATGCCTGTCTACTAGAAACTGGCCTGAGACCACCAAGTCATTTTGCATAACGCTACACAGCTGTTATATCTCTTAGGTCAGTATCAGTCTGGGTTGGATTTGAGATGAATATATATATGAATGGCTCCAAATCTCGTTGCCACTGCCCCTATGCCTCTTTGTAACTAGAGTTCTCCAGTGAGAGGAGTTCCTGTGTAAAGATTTTTAAGTACTTAAAAAAAATATGAACAGGCCATCACTGGTGCACTGCTTGGTTCTTGTAAGGGATGCATTAAAACATGCTTTGAGGGTAATAACTTGTATATTACTGACTGAAGCGTCTTTACTAACTCTGTGTGTGCGTGTGTGTGTGCATTTCAAGCCTCAGAGCAGGAGCTTCTCTCATTAGACCCAGAGCATATGCCAAAAGGAGGAGCTTGTCTGCATTTCAGGAGTAGCCAGTCCATGGCCATCCCTGCCCCTGATCATCCCATCTCTCCTTTATCCAAACATAGGCAACTGTCCCACAGATAACCATAGGGCCGATGGCCTCCTAACTTCTAGTCAAAGAACTTCTGGTCGAAGTTGTCAGATGTATGGGGCTCGAGTGAAGCAACATACTGCTCCAACAAGCATTTTGTCAGTTCACAACTCTGCTAGCTCCTGGGCTGGTATTTTAGGGGAAGATCTGGAATCTATATGTGCTTGCAGGATGCACAGATATCAATTCAATAGGCTGGTCTAACCTCTGGTGGTATTATGCTTACTCATTCACATTGCTAAGTGTCACATCTCAAAACAGCATCAAAATGTTTTTTTCTGTGTCACTCTTTTAGGGTTTATAGATCTCTAATGCACATATAGGGACTAAAGGCCAGTTTTTCAAATGAATCTAGGTGCCTAAAGATGCAGATATGTGCTTTTGAAAATCCCATTAGGCACCTATCTGAATGTTTAGGCCCCTAAATACCTTTTAAAATGCCCTAACTCTTTAGGGCCTAATTCTGCAACCATTGCTTGTACTGAGCAATAACTTACCCTACAAGTACTCTCACTGAAATGAATGGGGTGAAGTGCCAAGCATGGTACTGCTTAGTGTGAACAAAGGTGGCAGAACCAAAACCGTAATGTTATAAGTGAATTATGATGTATGAATTTTTATAGAGTCAAATTTCTTATAACCAGGTGGCTGCACTGCACAGGCGAATAGAGGAGATCGTGGAGGTAGCTGCAATGTGTGGGGTCAATGTGATCTGCTTTCAAGAGGCTTGGAGTGAGTATTTTCTGTAGTCTCCCGAAGTCCAGATTTTTTGCCTTTAAAATGCTAAAATTTCTGAAAATAGCCAATTCCTCTCCATTTAACAGGTACCCTATATTTTAAAAATGTTCCGCCGCAGCTATGAAACAGAGATTCCAGGATACAATCCTCTGATCCTAATCTTTATTTTCTGAAAGAAACTTAAAAGAATCCTTGTTAACAGAGCTGTGTGCAGGTTCCATGTTGGTCTGCAAAGGCAGGGTCTGCATCTGGGCGATGCTTTTAGTTATGCTTACTGTGTGTTCTTTCACTTGCTCTTCCCCTTTTCTTTCTTGGAAGTTTTGTTTCATTTAGGAAGATTCCCAACAGCAGAAAAATAATATTTAAATGAAAATGGAGGATGTGTGGGTTTAGGACTAGCCAAAACCAAAATTGAAGGACCTCCTGTGTGGCTGTTGAGGAAAATATGTCTTAGTCATTAATTTGCAGGTTTCTTCCTCAGACGCGCCTTCAGGGGATCCTCTGCCCCGTGTGAGATAGTGGGTAATCTTCCCCTCTCATTGCACCTATACTAACTTCCTACCCTCTTCGTCTCTAATCATAACCACCTCTCTTCTGGCCAGACAGGCCTCCCATTTCAAATCAGTAGGGACTCAGTCTGGCTTCTTAATTGAACAAATGTTGGCTGATTATAAGGTGCTGTCTTTGCTCCATAGAGCTGAGTGACTGTGCAACACTTCTTGTCCTTGCTGGGCTGTGGAGTAAGAGGAAATTAGATCTTGGTCTGCTGCATATAGAGCACTGGAACTATATGTGGCTGGTCTTGTCACAGTGTATCTGTGAGAATGCAGCCTAGAAAATCTAAAGTTTAGAGACCCCTAAATGGCACATTCTCAAGAATCAAACTCCTTTTTGCAGGGAGAAGAAGATAGTAATACCATACTCAGATGTGGTAATTATTTCTCTGTTTGCACAAAAGCAGCTTCTGAACACATTTCATTGACCTGTTTTATATAAGTAAAGCAGAACCCACCCCATACCAGCTCAGTGACCTAAAGTCTTTGTATTGACTTCTCATGTTGGTGTTTTTCTAGCTATGCCTTTTGCATTCTGTACAAGAGAGAAGCTTCCATGGACTGAATTTGCTGAGTCAGCAGAAGATGGTCTGACGACAAGGTTCTGCCAAAAGGTAAAAAGCTGAATTCATACCATTCTGTAGTGGTCACTTTTTGTATATCAGTCTTATACATTGTAAGACTCAAAGAACCAAAAATAATTTTCCAGCACGTTCAAAGCATGTATTGTGAGAGCTAGTGAAAGTGCAAATGGACAATACACGTGCAATATGAAACAGTTTTTAAAAAATCATACTTTAAATTTTTATAATGCCTTTTACCCTGTAGGATATGTGAGACTTCCTATCCTGACTTTTCCCATATTTTTACAAGAAAATAAGTTTCACAGCCAGTCATCTTTAACTTCTAGTCAAGAAATTCCTTTTGAATGGAACAGACTATGCATTAGCAAAGCATTACACAAAGAATATTAACTGATGAATTAACTAATGTTCTGAAAGGGAAACACTTTCATATGATTCTTCTACATCCTTCCTCTGACATGTAACACAGAATGTAGCTTTCTGTGCACCGGAGGTGACCTTTTAATAGCTGGCAGTCATTCGGCCAGGGATCGCTAAGTGAAAGCATGATTGTGGGATAATTTTCACCTTTTGCCATCTTAAATAGGCTGCAGTTTTCTTGTTTTATAAGGGATGTTGTATTTTTCTTTCTTAAATAATTCACTGACATGATCAGGTTTGTTGTGGGCCTGAATCTACCCAGATGTGATCTGACCTACTAAGCATGTGTATCTAACCACTTTACAGCTTCAATCTGACCTAGGTCAAATGTGGGGCACTTCTCAATGTGGGGTTAATGACCTAAGGGCAGATCCTGCAAGAAATATTCAGACATATAGAAAAGTAAAATTACATGAAGGGAAAGAAGAGAAAATGTCATTTGACCAAAGATTAAATAACCTATCAGTACTAACATTTGGTGCAAAATATTCTTGCTAGAACATTAAAAGGTACTGTGATGCTATGATTTCTGTGGATAAGGCAGCACCTATACTTTTAAACATAAATGTATTTACAAAGTGTGGATCCACTATGTACTGTGTAACTACAATAACTCGTTGATCAAAGACTTTCTTATATTTGATCTGTTGCAATAAAGAGGAATTTAAATTCCTACTCGAAAAAGGATTTGCTCTTGGTGCACAGTGTCACAGTTCTATACCTAGCATAACTGGGGATCCAAATTGTGTAACATCTTTCTGTTATGTTACTAACCCTAAATTTAATGAAAGGAAGAATACAAGGACAAACAATGCTTAAACGATGAGCGGCCAGTAGAATCTGGGATTTAGTTCTAGAGAGTGGATTCCTGGGACATCCTTGGAAGACTCTGCCTTGCCTGAATCCTTTTGTTCCCAACTGTTGGATTCAGTTTCATGTGCCTCTGCATTGCTGCTGAAGATAACCTGAATGCTTTATCTTGTAGGTAAAAGCCAAACATGAGATGCTTTGCAAAGAGAATAAAAATGATCACTAGGTCCAGACTGATTTAATAAATGTCTGCATAGAGTTGTCCACTTTCCATACTGTGATTTCACATGTCAGTTATTCACAGGAAAGCCTTAGCAAATGCATTCATTAATCCTTTGCTCCAGTTCTTTGTAGAAGGCATCAGGAATCAGCACAAGGGTTTATGGGAAGCTTTAGAATCTGAGGCTCAGGCACAAGTTGTTAAGTAGAGTTGGTCAAAAATTCTGAGTAGAAACATTTTTTCAATGGAAAATGGCTATTGGAATGAAATGAGAATTGTCTTGGAAAATTTGTCACTGGTAAAACAAAAATTGAAAAAAAAATTCAGTTTTCTGTTTTGGTTTTTCATTGGAAAAACTGATTTATTATTTTTCAGAAAATAAAAAATGTTCTTTTAAGCATGTCCTATGATTTTTTTTTTACCTTTTTCAGCCAGCTCTTGTTAAGCAAATCCACTAAGCAGTGTACCAGAATGAGAGAATGAGAGCAGGATTAAACACCCTCTCCCCCCGCTTATTTCTCAGCAGTTCCTTATGCCCCTTTTGGGTGGGTGGGTCTGGCCTACAGGTTAAAAACTGCTGCTACAGCAGAACTCATCTAACTGGAACTTGGTGCTTCTGCTAGAAGGATTCAGACTGGAAAGTTTTCACTGAGGTATCCCTCTCTGAACAAGAAAAATGTTGTAACACTAGAGTTCCAGTACATCATATATTCATCACTAGTGCTTAGCTGAGGTCAGAATAATGCACAGAATGAAAACCTCTCCTGTATTCTACTTTGAGGGGAAAAAGATGAAAACAGAGTTAATCATAACAGGCTTTTCCGTAATAGAGATTTTCTATTCATTTCTATAGTTGGCAAAGAAACACAATATGGTTGTGGTGTCTCCAATTCTGGAGAGAGATGATGTACATGGAGGAACTTTGTGGAACACTGCAGTGGTGATTTCAAACTCTGGATCTGTCCTTGGGAAGAGCAGGAAAAATCACATTCCAAGGATTGGAGATTTTAATGAGGTGAGATGCAGCATTGCTTATAATACACTGTCCTCACTTTGTAGCTCTTGCTTGTCTCTATATGGTAGAGTGTTGGAAAGTGTAGCTGCATAACTGTCCTGTCCATTTTGTCAAGGTAGAATTGTGTGGCTATGATGATACCACTGAGGGATTTCTGGTGCGCTCAAAAATCACAAGCATGGAATATGATGCCACCAGAATTCCCAAGATGCTATTGTAGCTTTGATTTATTTTAAGTTATTTTCTTTGTTTTATAATATTTCCCCAAAATAATCTGCTCCACAATACAGGTTATCATCCCAATGGGCTTTTCTATACAAAGCAACTTCACAAAAATATTGATGAGCTTTATAAAAATTGTGTAATTCATAGCTACGGTGTGTCAGTTGTGGGGTTCTGATGAAGTCACACTCCTGGTGAATTTCCTGTAAGCTGATGAGCCTTGTGTTATATGGTTCAGGGATGAACTGTACCTGTGATCTCTTTGTATCTCTCCATGGGCGCTTCTTTCAGGTGACAGGCCTATACCTGCACTTCCCTAAGTAGAATCCTGCAATTCATCCCACTTTTGACTAGACCACAAGTTTACAGCACCTTTATTTATAAACCATAGTACCTCCAGCATGGCCAGCTGGGTTTGACCTCAATCCAAAATTCTGTCAGGGAGCTGTGACCAGCTGGTAAATGCAATGACATAGAGCAGCTTGTTCAAAACAGAGTATGGTTTATTTATCTGTAGGAACATCACAAGCAGAGAGAAAAGGGTTAAAAATAACAAATGCCTAAATGCATATTGTCTTACCTAAACCTAATCTTTCCTTGCTAGTTTAAATAGATTCTGCTTAACCCAGGAACCCCCAAAGCATTGGGCTGCACGAAGCAGGCTGCACCCCTGCAACTGCTGCCTCTCTCATAGTCATCCCCCGCCATCCAGTCAGCGTGCTGTGTCCCTCAAGATCCAAGCTGCCTTTTATCCATTTCAGAGTTCCTTTGTTTGAAATTTCCTACCCAGAGATCTCCTGATGTTTCAAGCTAAGCCCCTGGAGCTGACGAAACTGGAATGCATTTCTCCAGGGCAGGTTGGAGGTAGTCTTCATACAATGGATTCATAGTATTATCTGAGCACCAGGCAACTGACTTCTGTCTTTAGCGATTGTTTCAGGTTCCTGAAAGGTTTAACCCTTAGCTGCCTTTTAGCCAGCACTACAGTAGCCACCAAATCCTCCCCCTTCCCTACACACACACATAAACATTCATACAAATTAATACACATACCTTCCATGTTCTTCACACCTTATTTAATAGTTAAATCCATACATAATAAATAAAAACATAATAAATGTTCGTACTGTATGGGCCTAGAACATTCTGTCTCAGAGGTTCCCAAACTGTGGTCCGTGTAGCACTTGCTGGTTGCATGTTTCTCTTTGTTTCCAGCTGTGAAACTGGAAAAGGCATGAAAGGCAGCTAAACTGTATATGAGTACTTTCACTTTTCTATGCATGAAATTGCTGCAGTTGCCACAGGGTTGTTATGTGATCACCAATGGGAGGTGGTCTATGTGACCATGAGTCCCAGGAGAAGCATCAAAACAATCTATTAACATAATTAAACAATTTTGACAATTCCAACCCTATCAGCTTCATTGTAACGGGTAAGTAGTGTTTGCCTAAAACACCCCATCTTGTTAAAAAGTGTTGATTGTGCTTGGAAGGGGTTAAGGATAGTCTGCTGGTAACTTGTTACCCTGCCTGGATATAACCTAGATAGTCATGGCTCTCTGAAAAGAGAGAGATAGACAGACCTTGGGTGAGGTCTGAGCAGCTCAGACTGGGGGAAAGATTATTCCGATCTTTATTAACAGAGAAAACAACAGTAAAGTAACAAAATCCAAACCTGAGGAGGGCAGTGAGTTGGATTTCTCAGACTGGGTGTTTGTCGTAGAGCAGGTTGAGAAACATGCCAGCTTGCAATCATCCATGGCAAATCAATGAGAACTAAATGTAAAGGGGAAAAAATTTGTTCTCTAACCTTTTCAGCCCTGTGTGGGAGGTTGTATAAATAAACAAAAATCAATCCTCCTTGAGACATCAGTTAGTTGCTGTGGAGATTATTGTGACCTCTGGTGAGGAATAAAGAGCAAGAGCTGATGAATTCCCCCAAGAAATAACAATCTTGTTTTTCTTCTCCTATCATAGTAGAAAAAACAGAGGACTGAGAAATAAAAATAAATTTAAAATATACAAGATAGGCAGATCTGTTTTGAAATAGAAATATTTATTAGAACATAACTGCCATGCTGGATCAGACCAATGGTCCATCTAGCCCAGTGTCCTGTCTCTGACAGTGGCTAGTACTAGAGCTTCAAGGGGAATTTGGGAATGATTCACCTTGTCTTCCACTCCTGGCTTCTGGCAGTCAAAGGTTTAGGGTTGCCTGGAGCGTGAGGTTGCATCCCTGCCCATCTTGGCTAATAGCCATTGATGGACCTGTCCTCCAGGAATTTATCTAATTCTTTTTTGAACCCAGTTATCTTTTTTGTCTTCACAACATCCCCTGGCAATGAGTTCCACAGGTTGACTGTGTATTGTGTGCAGAAGTACTTATGTTTGTTTTAAACCTGCTGCCTATTAATATTATTGGGTGACTCCTGGTTTGTGTGTTATGTGAAGAGGTAAATAACACTTTTTCTCCACACCATTCATGATTTTATAGATCTCTATCATATTTCTCCTTAGTTGTCCCTTTTCTAAGCAGACCAGCCCTAATCCTTTTAGTCTCTCCTCATATGGAAGTCGTTCCCTTTGTTGCCCTTCTTTTACCTTTGCCAGTTCCACTATACCTTTTTTGAGATTGGGTGACCAGAACTGGACACAGTATTCAAAGTGTGGGAAACCTTGGATTTATATAGTGGCATTATGATATTTTCTGTCTTATTTTCTATTCCTTTCCTAATAGTTCCTAATATTCTTTTAGCCTTTTTGATCACTGCTGTGCACTGTGCTGAAGTTTTCAGAGAACTATCCACGGTGACTCCAAGATCTCTTTCTTGAGTGGTAACAGCTAATTTAGAACCCATCATTATGCATGTGTAGTTAGGATTATTTTTTCCAGTGTGCATTACTTTGCACTTATCAGTGTTGAATTTCATCTGCCTTGTTGTTGCTCAGTCACTCAGTTTTGTGAGATTCCCCTTGTAAGGGCTGGTCTACATTGAAAAGTTACATTAGCATAGCTACGTCTGTCAGGGGTTTGTTTGTCTGAGCGATTGGCTGAAATAGGACTGAGTGGACTTGTAGGCTCTAAAGTTTTACATTGTTTTATTTTCAATGCAGTTATTTTTTGTACATAATTCTACATTTGTAAATTCAACTTTCATGATAAAGAGATTGCACTACAGTACTTGTCTGAGGTGAATTAAATTTTTTTTGTTTTTTTATAGTGCAAATACTTGTAATCAAAAATAAATATAAAGTGAGCACTATACACTTTGTATTCTGTGTTGTAATTGAAATCAATATATTTGAAAATGTAGAAAATATCCAAAAAATATTTAAATAAATGGTATTCCATTATTGTTTAATAACGTGATTAATCGTGATTAATTTTTTTAATCGCTTGAGAGCCCTAAAAAAAAGATAAATTGCAAATGGATACCTAACTTAACGAGCTAAGTGAATTTAAAAGCAAAAGTTTTTTTTTACCACACGCTTACAGCAGTCTAACTGGATTGCTTCAGCCAGGACCTCCCTCCAATTCAATGATGCTTCCTTTGTGTTTCAAACATTGTAGCTGTCCTGAGTAGAGATGAGGGGAGAGAGGTGATTTGCGGGCCTCTGTTTCTTATTTTTATACCCTTCTCCCCTCTTTAAGGATTACCTCCAGCTGGGGTTCAGGTGACAGGCAGTCTGTTCACAAAGAAGCTCCTAGCTGTTTCATTGTCAGTATGGGGAAGTTCTCGCTCACCCCTTCTTCCTGCTGCAGAATGGCTGCTTAACTAGGTGGTAGTCTATAATAGTTCATCTGATTCTGCTGATACCTGGCTGGGGTGCCAGTGTGCCTCTGTCTCTGAAAAACTGGTTTGGGCCTGCCTCTCTAACTTTGGAACATGTTACAGCAATGTTATACAGTAGAATCGTATAACTTTACATGCAATGTTTCCATACATATTTTACCAGGACACTAATGTTCTGCAGAATGAGTTTTCAAATGATACCTCACAGGGCATGCCTTGTACCAAATTTAACATAGACTTGCAAAAATGGTGACCATGGGGTACAGTCTGTCACATCATCACAGGTTTTATCTTTAATGGCAAGACACTAAGGGTATGTTTTCACTGCAGAGTTGACTGTGGGTCTTACTTGATGTTGTCCCTAACCCTTCACCTGTCCACACATAAAAATGTCTCATCTGAGTTAGATGGTGCTTTGAACCCAGGCTGGTTGGCCTGGCTGGGGTTATAGACAAGAGCTCAATAGTTGATCTCCTTTGGGCTGGCAACCTGTCCATGTTGCAGGGAGGATAAAAGTTAAATCACTTCAGTGCTGATTGTCCTCCAGTGCCTTCCTACAATTCCCCCTGTGTGCCGAGAAGGACAGATAAGATCTCCCACAATTCACTTCAAAAGAATCATAGAGCATCTCAGCTTACTGCAGCAAAAAGAAGCATGGGATATTCCTCCAGAAGTCCTTACGACAAACACAAGTGAATGCAGCACCAGTGAAGATGCAGTAACTTGAGTGAGGCTTGCGCCTGGGCTAGGCTGCACTGGGTGCTCAGATCCAGGTACTGATTACACAAGTTAACTCTATTCTGAAGACATAACCTAACAGGTAGTTCAGAGTTCCATTAAGAAAACAGCAGGTGTTATATGTGACAGTTGGTGATGCATGTTTACTAGCTAGTACATAGCATTCATCTCCATTTTTAAGGTACTCATGGAATTACTGGAATGTATTTTGAGAAGGAAGAAGTGTTATTGGCTGAACCTAGTGAAGGCCTTACACTCAACTTGATGGTATATGTTTGTACGTTTGCAGTATTGTTTTAGCCATGTTGGTCCCAGGATATGAGAGCGACAAAGTGGTGAGGTAATCTCCTTTTATTGGACCAACTTCTCCTGGTGGAATAGACAAGCTTTCATGCTTCACAGAGTTCTTCTTCAGGTCTAGACCAGGGCGTCCCTGAAATAGTGAGGGTGGGAGCATGGCACCCAGGGAGCTGTGGGATAGAATGGGGGAATGCAAGGAGCTCCTGATGTGTGCAATAAACTGGGCCTACAGAAGCTATCAAATGTGTAACCCCCTACTTATCTATTGAGTGCAGCAAAGTTTGTGTGTTTTACCTCCTGTTGGCACTGACAGCAATGTAAATTGAGCCAGCGGAAATGGAAGCTCATGTGGCTTTTATCCACCTCTCCATTCTGAGTTCTCTTTTCCCTCTGTACCATCTTATTTCATCTCCCTTGTGTGACTGAGGTCCCAGCGGGGGCCAGCTGAGGTCACTCAATTAGGGTGAACTGCAAAGAATGGGGCAGACAATCCCCATAAAGCTGGTGGATATTCCAGTACTTAGATTTACCAAGCCGGCATAAAACAGCTTCTTTATTACCTTAATGGTTACTTAGAAGTCCAAACAACACATTTCCCTTCCTGAGGAAACTACAATCCATCAGTGATCTTCCAGAAAACACCATCTTGGCTACTATGGATGTAGAAGCCAACATTCCACACAAAGATGGACTACAAGCTATCAGGAACAGTATCCCCGATAATGTCACGGCAAACCTGGTGGCTGACCTTTGTGACTTTGTCCTCACCCCAACTATTTTACATTTGGGGACAATATATACCTTTAAGTCAGCGGCACTGCTATGGGTACCCGCATGGCTCCACAGTATGCCAACATTTTTATGGCTGACTTAGAACAACGCTTCCTCAGCTCTCGTCCCCTAATGCCCCTACTCTACTTGCACTACATTGATGACATCTTCATCGTCTGGACTCATGGAAAAGAAGCCCTAGAGGAATTCCACCATGATTTCAACAATTTCCATCCCACCATCAACCTCAGCCTGGACCAATCCACACAAGCGGTCCATTTCCTGGACACTACTGTGCTAATAAGCGATGGTCACATAAACACCACCCTATACCGGAAACCTACTGACTGCTATACTTACCTACATGCCTCCAGCTTCCATCCAGGACACACCACACGATCCATTGTCTACAGCCAAGCTCTGTGATACAACCGCATTTGCTCCAATCCCTCAGACAGAGACAAACACCTACAAGATCTCTATCAAGCATTCTTTAAACTACAATACCCACCTGCTGAAGTGAAAAAACAGATTGACAGAGCCAGAAGAGTACCCAGAAGTCACCTACTACAGGACAGGCCCAACAAAGAAAATAACAGAACTCCACTATCACCTTCAGCCCCCAACCAAAACCTCTCCAGCGCATCATTAAAGATCTACAACCTATCCTGAAAAATGATCCCTCACTCTCACAGATCTTTGGAGACAGACCAGTCCTCGCTTATAGACAGCCCCCCAACCTGAAGCAAATACTCTCCAGCAACCATACAACAAAAACGCTAACCCAGGAACCTATCCTTGCAACAAAGCCCAATGCAACTCTGTCCACATATTTATTCAAGTGACACCATCATAGGACCTAATCACATTAGCCATGGCATCAGGGGCTCATTCACCTGCACATCTACCAATGTGATATATGCCATCATGTGCCAGCAATGCCCCTCTGCCATGTACATTGGCCAAACCAGACAGTCTCTACACAAATGAATAAATGGACACAAATCTGACATCAGTAATCATAACATTCAAAAACCGGTAGGAGAACACTTCAACCTCTCTGGCCACTCAGTAAAAGACTTAAGGGTGGTAATTTTGCAACAGAAAAGCTTCAGAAACAGACTACAACAAGAAACTGCTGAGCTTGAATTAATATGCAAACTAGATACCTTTAACTTGGGTTTGAATAGAGACTGGGAGTGGCTGAGTTATTGCACATATTGAATCTATTTCCCCACGTTAAGTATCCTCAGACCTTCTTGTCAACTGTCTAAATGGGCCATCTTGATTATCACTACAAAAGTTTTTTTCTCCTGCTGATAATAGCTCATCTTAATTAATTAGCCTCTTACAGTTTGTATGGCAACTTCCACCTTCTCTGTATGTGTATATATATCTCTTCTTACTATATGTTCCATTCTATGCATCCGATGAAGTAGGCTGTAGCCCACGAAAGTTTATGCTCTCATAAATTTGTTAGTCTCTAAGGTGCCACAAGTACTCCTGTGCTGTTCTTTTTATCTCTGAATTACCAGAATACAGCACAGACAGGGACTGTTGATTACATTGTTGACCCTACTCATACATATGTAAATACACAAAAATGATCTCCCCACATGTCTTTTGAGGGTTATTTATTTTGCAGGATGTTTAACCCTTTCTGGCCATACGTCACACCTTGCTTTCAGTTGCAGCAGCTGTAATTTTTGCTCTTACCATTTTGGCATGGAGGGTCTGGTGATCAGGTAATAAAGTCTGTAGAGAATGCAGTATTGCTTCAGGAACATGTGAAAAAGACAGGTGGCACAGCACTTATGTCCAGCAGTGAGTAAAGAGAAGTAGAAATGGAACTGGAATTTGATCTCTACAGCTCAAGAGAGACATTTCTGTTGGATCTGTACATACAATGCAGGTATTTAGTGGCTGAGGGATGTTGTCTTTTCACATACTGTTGTGCCCCAGAGATCTAGTGAATTTTAAAGGTGCTACCGGGGGGTGGGTGAACTCGGAGACAGTACCTGAAGACACCTGCTTGTGTTTTTTCCTAGTCTACTTACTATATGGAGGGCAACACAGGGCACCCTGTGTTCCAGACTCAGTTTGGAAGGATTGCTGTGAATATCTGTTTTGGGCGCCATCACCCCCTGAACTGGCTCATGTACAGTCTAAATGGAGCAGAGATTATCTTTAACCCTTCAGCTACTACTGGAGAGCTCAGGTAAAGTACAAACAACTTGTGGGCTGTCAATTGCTTGGGATGGGCTGTATTGTGGAGTGAAATACCTGCGCGTCCCACATTTCCTGAAAGAGGAAAACCATACTTGTTTTTCCTAAGTGTTTCTTTTGGACAGGAACATTTAAAAAATGTTTTGAATTACACTATTTTTATTTATTTATTTATTTATTTATTTATTTTAGTGATATCAGTTTGGAGTGGCTCACAACTGTTAGTGCCTACAACAAGGCAGATTGTCAAAAGCAGGGCAGACACCCCAAACGGGTGATGTGTTCTATGATTAGATTTCACCAACCCAATAAAGATGTGAACTCCTGGATCACTAAGTCAATCTTACCATGGAGTCACAGACAGTCCCCTTAGATTCTCTAGTCTATCTCGCCCCCCAGACAAACTGGACTTTCTGATAAAAGATCACTTACACCAAAATCACACCACATGCAGGTTGCTCCCAGTCCCAAGAGAACCATCACTTACCCCAGATCAGTTGGTATCCTAGATCTTACACGAAAGGCAACGCTGGTAGCCAATTCTAGAGTAAACTAACTAAAGGCTTATTAGCTAAGAAAATAAGAGTTATTGAGAGGTCAAAGCAGGTAAAATATATGTACAGATGAGACACAGTTTGTAATTCCAAATGGTGGTAGTGATGTAATAAACTGCCAGTTTCCCAAAAGTCTTCTCAAGGTATCCAGATTGTCTCTAGGGATCTCCCCTTTGAATCTGGTATCCTTCCCTGTAAGAGTCCAAACAGTCCAGAAATGAGGGATCTTTCCCTGAATCCATACTTCTAGCTTCTTCTCATAGGAAACAAGCTGACAGGGTCACTACCCACGTGGGCTCTTCCTTTGGGGACGGAGAGTAAGGAATGCATTTAGAGTCTTTGATCTCCAATCATCACACAAAATGATCACTTGATTTGAAATTAGCACTTTGCTGTTAAAGTTCTTCATTTGCATTCCGTAAGGCTTCTTTCTCAGATTGATGGGTTATTTAGTTACAGGCGTATAGACAATGTAAATATTTGCTGTTACAGCGGGATACAGATAAGTTACAAGAGTGCATGTAACATCCCATTACTTTTAATGACATTTAAACACCAAATACACTCTCATACATTTAGTAGGTTTCAGAGGAACAGCCGTGTTAGTCTGTATTCGCAAAAAGAAAAGGAGTACTTGTGGCACCTTAGAGACTAACCAATTTATTTGAGCATGAGCTTTCGTGAGCTACAGCTCACTTCATCAGATGTTTAGTATTTATTAATATTTAGTAGTCACTTTGATCTATATTGCTACACAAGTGAATTGGCCTGGCTTCTAGATATGCATTTGTAAGCATTCACTGAGGCCTGGGGCTTTGGCATGAGCTGGCACATGGTCTGTCAGCATCACAAGCGCATCTATTAGCTAAGGTCCAGTATTCCAGAATATGTCAATGGATCATCTTGACACACAGTATAGTACATGTACTTTTTCATTTATCCAAATGACAGTGGAATCTGAAAAGAAATCCAGTTCTGTAGGATGTACACTCCTATACTAGTAAGCAGTGTTGCCTGACCTGTTAATTATGAATTAATTATATTGATTACACTCAGAGGATTGGTAGGTTCTCATCCCAAGATCAGGCCCAGTATTATTAAAATTACTATCCAGTTGGGAGCCCCGACATGCATGGTTGCAACACTCACACTTAGGAAAACCTTTTGTATTTGTAACAGTTTTATTAACACAATTAGTAAAATCACAAACACTCCAACCCAGCAAGGTAGATAGAGAGAATACAGAATGTGCATCTGAACATCCATATACTCACACCATTCTTTGCAAAAGGACCCAAAATGTTACTCATCATGTTCACCGTCAGATTCACTATCACCAGTGGTCAACATTCTGGCATCTCCCAAGAGTCACATCTCCCCAAGGTATGTGGGCTGGGATACAACTTTGATAATATGTTACGCTGAAACCACTATGCCAAATGCATATTCAGTAGGGGTGTCATTCTCTTTTCCTAGAGTGTCGAGCATAGTGGGGCCCCAATTTCAGTTGGTATCTAGGTGCTAATGTAGCACAAATAAGAAATAACAATAATGTTACCCTTTTTGGCCTAACCACTTTTTTCCATTAGGAGAAATTGATGATGGAGTCGGGTATTTCTTTGATGCAGTCCTGTTTATTTACAAAGAACATACATAAAATCCTGTTTTCCTGAATGCAGTAGGAATCAAACAGCAGGAGACAGTTATTTACTCACAGTTCCAAGCCTCTTTCCAGCCAGCACTCTACCCAAATGTGCTCTTTCTCAGCTTTTTCTCAGGGTCACACTACAAGTGCTTCTCTGGCTGGCTGGTAGACTTCCTTGCTACCTTTCCTGTGTGCTTCTGTTGTGTTTGTGCTACCTCTCTGCTCCTTCCCCACACCCTGCAATCAAATCAGTATCCCATCCCTGTGTTTGTGTTCAGACCCCCATGAAACCCCTTGGCCCAGTGGTCTAGTCCTTGGGCAGTAGTTTCCATTGCTTCAGCCATCACTAAACAAAGGGGCATTTAGTTTTCCCCTCATTTAGCCTGAATGGAAGGTAACTAGTATAACATGCCCAACAACTTCATCAAGGTGGGGTGATTGCCCAACCCCCAGCATAACAATAATATTAATATATTCAGTAATGCTAAGTCTGTTTCAGAAGATCACTCCTTCTCTAGGTGAGGAGCTGGTTGATAGAACATTTGTAGGCAGCCTTAGGGGATTCTAATAACTTAGGCCCCAGTAATGCAAGGAACTCCATAGGGGTGCAGAGTTCTGCCCATGCAGAGCTCCTGGCAGAACTGAGACCGTAGTGCTTCTTATCTGAGGTAATAACCACTTCCTGGGCTGAATAAACGCTGCCTTTGAGTCTGTCAGCCTCAGGATATGGCTGTTATCAAGGTAACAGGAAGCCCCGTTGAGTTGTTTTAAGACACTGACATTTTAAATGTAATATTCAAATTGAAAGTGAAGGAAGAAAATCTAACAAAAGGAATCCACCCCTTCAAACTAACTGAACCCCCTTTAGGCCCCTGCTTTCCCTTCCTCTGACTCAGCAGTGCTTGTCTGTCCAGAATAATTGCAATATATCTTTCCTTTCATTGTCTTTAAAAACAAAGAGAAGGGAGGGGCCTCTCCCAGTGTAAACTGTGTAAACATAAATGTATGAATTATTCTGGGAACAAGAGCACTGCTGAATGGCACAGGAAAGAACAGAAAGTTTTAAATCATGGAGAAGGGATTCATTTAAAAATTTTTTTTGACATTTTCTGTGCGCCCTCCCCCCCCCCCCACACACACATATTTCTCCGCTTCTCTTTCATGTAAATTTGGAATTTTTCTGTATCAGCCGAAGAGATTGAAGCAGTGAGGCCAATCTTCTTGCTGGCAAATAGCTTGAAAATTCTGAATACATGAGCCACTCAGAGTAGGGAGATTGCAGTAGCCAGAGTGTGATTATTGATAAATAAGCACATAGTGAATACATAAGTCACACACCCACAGCCAAGCCCAGTACAGGGAATTGTATATTTGGAGTGGTGTGGAAGGGAACTATAATTTTGAATCAGTAAGTGTACAGCATCCTGTCACTCAGACTGCCTAAGGCAATTCTGTTTCCCAATAAGAGCTGATAGCTGCTGATTTAGGTTGTTTAATATTGGAAAATGTCCTTAGAAAAGAGTTTAGTAAATACAGCGTCACTTGTAGTGGGCTTTACAAATGTCACCATTAAAATAATGTTTGTGATGTTGGTCCATTTATAGCCCATTAGAAGGAGAGCAAACAGAAATTATACTGCCTTCCTGAGGCACTTCATTGCTTTTCTGGGTGCTCCAGGCTCTCCTGATTATTGGCTTTCTTCTCTTGGTTGCTTTTTGAAGGTATAATTTTTATTGCAGGAAGAGGACTCTTGAGTCCCATGCAGAAAAGAGTTTCTAGGGAAATGGAAGAAAGCTGTTCTGTAGTAACCTCTTGGCTATCATCTCTTTTCCCACAGTATTTCTCCTTCCTTCTGTGAAATTGTAATTTCCAGGAGCCTTTCAACAAAGTCCCTTTTTCTTAGACGTGCTGTCAGGTTGGCTCAGCAGTTGGGGGGAGGGGGGGGGAGGGGAGGGTGGAACAGGGGGAGTGATAAACCTAGTCCTTTCAATCAAGCCAATGAGCATCTTGTAGGTGTCTGAGTCTTCTTGAGATTTACTTATGAGTCATCCACCCACACTCTCCCCTTGGAGCTCAATATTGGGCAGCTACATGCTGTTATGAGGGTGATTTTGCAGAAGAGTGTACAGCCAGTCACTCTTGTTTTTCAGTGCTGTAGGTACTGTCAAACCATATCTTCTTGAATTATCTGATCCCTGTGTCTCAATATGCTTAATGAAAGGAAGGCTGCCTGCGTTTTCAGTGAGACAAGGGGAGTGAAGTAATATCTTTTATGGGCCCAACTGTTGTTGGTGAGAGAGACAAGCTTTCGAGCCACACAGAGCTCTTCTTCAAAAGGTAGTCTAATAAAAGATGTTACCTCACCCACCTTGTCTCTAATATCCTGGGACTGACATGGCTAAAACTACACTGAGTTTTCAGTGTCTCCAAAATTGAGTCCCAGTTTGGAAAAGAACTGAGGGTGAAGGTGGAGGAGGAATTCTTTCCCGTTTCACAGTTCTTGGTTTTCTGTACAGTGTGGAGACTGGTTTAATGGATAATAATTGAAATGTTACAGGGCTGCTTTTGTCAAGCATGCCTTTTTGTTCTGCAGCCCTGCATAGGGGAATGACTTTTGAAAATGTCTGTGAAACCTGCAAGTAGAACAAGGGGAGCAGGAGGGGTGGACTTTTTTTTCTAGCTTTCAGACAACCTAGTTTCCCACTGCCTGCCTCAGAAACTGCTCCTGGAGAAAGGGGGAGGGAGGCTATTAGAGCAAGAACCTTTCTATGCTGCTGCAAAATATTATTTGGATTCCTGAAAATTAATGTATAAATCTTCCAGACTGTTTTGAAAAAAATTTCTCCCAATGACTTTAATGGAAGGTGCATATCTAAATTCCCTGGGCTGCTTGAAAATCTCAAGCCAGGCATTTAAAATTCTCATCATGGTGGTCACCATTAGAAGTCAGCATTTGCCAAGTTACCAGATAAAATAGTCTCTCCCTATATGTGGAATGGGAATAATGTTGGTAACTGTGCTGAATCTGGTGGAAAATGCTCACTATTGAGGGTGACCACTCTTTGTGATCCAAGATCATTGACAGCAGTTGGCTGTGGTTAGCTTTTGTTTCCCTGATCGCGAGGCTCAAGATTACAGGTATCCACAGCCCATGAAATCTCAAAATTTAGCTATGAGCCATGCAAATAAACGATAATCACCACCTTTTTTGTTACCAATTTGCAGCGAGTCACTGTGGCCAATTGAAGCAAGAAATGCAGCTATTGCTAACCACTGCTTTACATGTGCCATAAACCGAGTTGGAACGGTAAGTATTTCAACACTTTGCTTTGTAGCCTTAATTTCAGAATCTATGCATTTGAGCACATTTTAATCCTAGCTAATGAACTGTATAGTGCTAACGGGATTACATGGTAGCTGTAGGACACCTGGAAAACTCCTGTATTCCTCTGTATAGCATGAGACCTCCTCTCTCATGAATGTTTGCAATGGTGCTTTGAAGATTGAAAGTGTTGCTATGATACCTAGTAAACAGAGAGTGTGAGCCACCTGCCCTGCTGCTGGTAGCCTGCATTCTGCTGTGGCTCCTTCCTATTCTTGACTTGTTCTTTCTTTATGGTGATGGATTTAACTAAGGGCTTGTTTACACTTACTGGGGGATCAATGAATGGCGACTGATGCATCGGCGGTTGATTTAGTGGGTATAGTGAAGACCCACTAAATCAACCATAGATTGCTCTCCCCTCGACTCCTGTACTCCACCAGATTGAGAAGAGTAAGGGGAGTCAACAAGAGAGCATCTCCCGTCGACATCATGTAGTGTGGACCCTGCGGTAAGTAGATCAAAGCTACGTCTATTTGAATTACGCTATTCACGTAACTCAAATTGCATAGCTTAAATTGACTTTTCCCTTTAGTGTAGACAAGGCCTAAGATGAATGCTCCTTCCCTTCTCGCTAATTCTCCTAGCTCCTATGCAGAATCCAGTGTCTCCTTCACTAAGATTATTGAAAATAAAATGTGTCCTTGCACTTCTGTAACAGAGCTGGTTCTTACTAGTCAGACACCTTCTCTCCTTAACAACTGAGACCATGGAACCAATTCTACCTTCATGTGCAGTAGGTGAGGCCTGTCTTCAGAGCTAGTGACACAAGGTGGATGAGGTGTAATACACTGTATTGGACCAGTTTCTGTTGGTGATGGTGACAAGCTTTCGAGCTATGCAGAGCTCTTCTTCAGATCTGGGAAAGGTACTCAGAGTGGTGTAGATAAATACAAGGTGGAACAGATTGTTTAGCATAAGTAGTTAACACATATTTTAAGGGACCATTTAAGGGAAGTTGTGGTGGAAACCTGTAGGGAAGTTTAGATCATTTGTCCAGAGGATGAAAATAATATCGATATCAACCTCTTTATGGGCCACCTTGAGGAAGAATTTCTGGACAAATGCACCATGAAACCAATGTACCTCAGATACATCAATATTATTTTCATCCTCTGGACAGATGACCTAACTTCCTTCTGGATTTCCACCACTACTTCAACAACCACCACCCATCCATCAGACTCTCTCTAGAACACTCTCACAGCAGCAACAACTTCCTGGCCATGATTAGCTTCAACAGTGGAACCTTAGACAACAGTATACAAGAAACCCCATGGATCACCGCACTTACCTTCACAGATCTAGTAAGCACCCCAAGAAATCTGTTATCTACAGCCAGGCCCTCAGCTATCACAGAATATGCTCCAAGGAGAAAGTCTGGGATACACACCTTAACACATATAAAACCACCTTTACCGAACAAGGATACTCCACCAGAGAATTAGATCACATCATGGAAAGAGCCACCCAAAAACCCCAAGAGACCCTGCTTTGCTACAGGGGGGAAAACCCTCTGACCGCACACCTCTAGTTGTCACCTACTACTCCATACTGGAACCTGTACGGGGTATCTTTAAACCATTACAACCTATACTCGATGGGGAGCATATCCTGAAAGAAGTCTTTCCCAACCCTCCTCTTCTGGGCTTCAAACAACCCACTGTGTCTCCAGGCTCATTGTCAGAATGAGCTCCCCACAGACCAGTACCCACCAATTCAAAGCACCACGAGACCCTGCCATAACAACAGATGAAAAACCTGCAGACATATTGCTACCGGTACAAGGGTCAATATCTCCCACAACACATGTTTCAAGATGCATGGGTCCTACATATGCCTATCATAACCTGTGATGTACCTCCTCCAGTGCACTAAATGCCCCAGTAACAACTATGTGGGTGAAGCCAGACAGTCATTATGCTCTTGAATGAACTCACAGAAAGTGATGAAAGACAAATATACCATATCATCCATGGGCAAATACTTTTCACAAAGCGATCACTTCCCTCCATATCTGACCTATCAGTCCTCATCCTCAAAGGAAATTAGCACAATTCCTTCAAAATATGAGCCTAGGAGCTTAAATTGATAATTTTGCTGGACATTAAAAATAATGGTCTTAATAAAGACACTGGATTTACGGCTTATACAACAATCTGCAACCCATTAACCCCCTTTTTTTGTCCTATGACTGGAGGAGTGTTAATGGGCCACTTCACCGTGAATCGTTCCTTAAAATATGTGTTAGTTACTTATACCTTTCCCAGACCTGAAGAAACGCTCTGTGTAGCTCAAAAGCTTGTCTCTTCCACCAACAGAAGTTGGTCCAAGGAAAGATTATACCTCATCAATGTTGTCTCTCTAATATCCTGAGACCAACCTGACTATATCAACACTGCAACATTCAGAGCTAGTGCACATACAAATTCTTTGTTGAGCAGTTTAGCATGTATATTTTTTTAAGGTGCTCTCCATGAATCTGGCTTAGTGTCCACCTGGTTAGACCATGTTCTTCCTTTCTGTTATCTGCAAAGACTACCTCATTTAAATCTCTCTTCTCCCACCCCCATACCAGAGCTGTCCTCTCCTTGGCCTGTTAACTTGTTGTGGTGGAGAGGTTTGTGTCCTCCCTCAGAACTATGTTGTTCGGACTATTGTACTCGTGGTAGGGTCACCCTTGGCGAACAGTTCTGAGGTGAGGTTCCAGATGAAGCACGGTCCAGACTTCTCAAAACCCCAACGGTGGAACAGGTGTATTTAAGGACTTGTCAATTCTCTGTGGCTGTGAAGGTGCATAAGGGGTGCAGCAGGATGGAGACCTCCAGTTATCTCGGTCTCCTCTGCCACCGGGTCCAGGGCTCCTTCCTGTCAAGTTCCGTGAGGTTCCTGCCTGCGCACCAGCTCCCCCACATTAAAAGATTTCATGCATAGGCCTCTGCCGTGACCAGAGCTGTGACACGCTAGTATTACTACTCATATTCCCCAGAGCGCTGTGAATACAAGGCTGTCAACCAAGAAAATGCCTGTCTTCCAGGCTAGTCCATCCTAAAATTCTAGCAAGACAGTCACTACCTTGAATCTAGAAACTAGGTGACACTGAAGATTCCCTTCTGCAGGCAGTGTTGACGGTAAGCCAGACAAGTCTTAATAGATGTATGCCAAGCATTAATATGTTAGTATATTAAACATTGAATTGCAGCAAGATTCTCTTGCATGAAATGAGATTATAGTGCCATCTACAGCTTCATTTCAACCTGGCTTTTGTTTCACAGGAATACTATAGTGAATGCATTTACATCTGGAGATGGTGGAAAAGGTACGTTCAGCAAATACCTTCATGAGTTGCTAATAGTTGATTTTGAAGCATGAAGAGTTATCTTTCCGGCTATCTGCCTGTAGTTTCCATGACAATGGTCGTATCTAAGAGCAGCCTTACTTCCCAGAAATGCCACTGTCATAGAAATGACAGGCAACTAGCAGAAAAGATATCCAAAGTACAGTGGCATATGGTCATTAGAGGTGCTTATATAGGGCTGCTATATCCTTCCTAGGGACTCCAGTCTGTATGATCCCTGGAAACTTGCAAGGCAAAACCCCACTAATTTGCCCTATGTTGTCAGTGTGGTTTATGATGATGCATTAATCTTCATGTTCTGACTTTAAATCCATAAAAGCCAGGAGTTCTCTTACCAAGTACTATTGCTACATACACAAGTTAATGTGAAAGAGGATTAGCTTCAGATAGTCCAGATCCAGACACACAGGTGAGCTATTGAGTCTCATGCGTTTTTGTAAATGGTTTACATAAAGTTATAGGTACTTGCATGCCTCTGGCATGCCAAGCCAAATGATGCTGAAGATGGGGTGCAGAGCTAAGACATACAGGGGACTCTCTCACTGGAATTCTGCATTTCACTGCTTTATAAAACGTTGCCTCTTTATAACAATTGGCTATTTGTCTGATGTGGTTGTAGCAGACTCCCAAAACCTTCCTTTAGGCTGTCAGATTACTCCTCTTGTAATGCCTATTTTATAAATAGACAAATGTGCAATTCCCAACAGATATGTCTTCACTGCGGAGTTAAGATGAGTGATCAGCACCTGGATTAATCTAATCCCAGCAGGGGAAGTGCAATACCCGTGTGACTGTGTCCTCACTAATACTGCATTCACTATGTTGCTATGACTTTTGAGGGTATATCCCATGGTTCTTTGTGCTGCAGTAATCTGAGAAACCCTATGATTCTTTCCTAGTGAATCGTGGTAGAATTTCTGTCTTGGGCACATGGGAGAAATTGTGGGAAGCCACTGGAGGTGTGTCAGTGCAGGAGTGATTTAGCCTGCATCTTTACAGCAAAGTGGACAAGTTACCAGCCCAAGTGGAAGCAGCACAGGAGCTCTCGCCTATACAGCCAGTCAGCCTGAGCCCTGGTCTACACTAGGACTTTAGGTAGAATTTAGCAGCATTAAATCGATGTAAACCTGCACCTGTCCACACGATGAAGCCCTTTATTTCGACTTAAAGGGCTCTTAAAATCGATTTCCTTACTCCACCCCTGACAAGTGGATTAGCGCTTAAATCAGCCTTGCCGGGTCGAATTTGGGGTACTGTGGACACAATTCGACGGTATTGGCCTCCGGGAGCTATCCCAGAGTGCTCCATTGTGACTGCTCTGGACAGTACTCTCAACTCAGATGCACGATTGTTTGCCGTTGCTCTGACGCAGGGAGGGGCGACTGACGACACGGCTTACAGGGTTGGCTTACAGGGAGCTAAAATCAACAAAGTGGGTGGCTTTACATCAAGGAGTATTTCAGGCAGGACTTCACGGAGGGTTCCAATAAGAAATGGTGCACCTAAGTTATTGTTCTTATTGGAACAAGGAGGTTAGTCTGGCCTCTGATTGATACATGGCTAGATTTACCTCGCTGCACCTTCTCTGTGAGTGACTGCAGTGTGACCTAGAGGAATGAGTCCCCTAGACGGGGGAGGGAGGTTGTTTGCAAATGAGTACAAAACAAATCTGGTCTATTTCTTGTTTTGATACACTCCATCTATCTTTTACATCTTTGGCTGGCAGCAGACGGTGTAGAAGGACTGCTAGCATCCTCATCTCTTGCCTGCCCGGCAGAAGATGATGCAGTAGGACTGCTAGCAATCCGTATCACCTGCCTGCTCACCAGAAGATGGTTCAATAGGACTGACTGCAGGACTAAAGAGAATGACTTGATCAGGTCACTCCAAATTTAGTCCCTGCGCCCATGTCTGCTCAGGCGCTCCTGATCGACCTCACACAGGCGACCAGGAGCACCTCGGACATGATGATGACGGCTACCAGTCCTATTGCACCGTCTGCTGCCACAAGGCAATGGGTTGCTGCTGCTGTGTAGCAATGCAGTACCGCGTCTGCCAGCACCCAGAAGACATACGGTGACAGTGAGCTGAGCGGGCTCCATGCTTGCCGTGGTATGGCATCTGCACAGGTAACTCAGGAAAAAAGGCGCGAAATGATTGTCTGCCCTTGCTTTCATGGAGGGAGGGAGGGAACGGGGGCCTGATGATATGTACCCAGAACCACCCACGACAATATTTTAGCCCCATCAGGCATTGGGATCTCAACCCAGAATTCCAATCGGCAGCGGAGACTGCGGGAACTGTGGGATAGCTACCCACAGTGCAACGCTCCGGAAGTCGACTCTAGCCTCAGTACTATGGAAGCACTCCACCGAGTTAATGCACTTAATGCACTTAGAGTATTTTCTGTGGGGACACACACACTCGAATATATAAAACCGATTTCTATAAATTCGACCTAATTTCATAGTGTAGACATACCCTGAGTGTAAAGCGCTACCAGACCCAGGGGAGAGGCTTTTGTGTGAATGGAAGGGGGGTGAGGGGCAACACCTGAATAAGAGCCCAAATTAACTGCAGTGAAGACATACCTTAGAGGGGTTTCACAGGAGCAAACCAAAATATACTTGGCCAGTTTTATTCTGTTCTTTAATTTTACATCATTATAAATGGTGAGAACATGACAGGCAAAAGTAAACACAAATTATAATTCAGAAATAAGAGAAGAAAGAAAAGAATAACCTAATGCATTGTCGTGTTCAATATAGGCTTGAACAAAAGGATAAGTTATAAAAGTCAAAGAAACTTGTACTCTGATTATCTATTCAGAAATCCAAAAGAAGTCTGAGATTCTGAACTGCTTTCTCTTGGGGTAGATGTAACCCACCAATATTCAGTTGTAACCTCAGCATTTGTCTTATGGGAACCACCATCTTCTCTGTTTTTTCTGGCCTCAGTCTGAGTCTCAGCCAACCCATTTGCTACAGATCCTTGTATTGGCCTGACATTGGAGCTGAGTGTTAGCAGCTGCTGCATGAAGGTGGCTAGTGGTTGCTATCGCTCACTTTGATTGCCCTCAATGAACAGTGCAGAACTTTAGAGGTGTCTGATGCACTTGATCTTGTGGCCAATCCTTTGATCCTGTTGAAGATATTTGCATTTTTAATAAGATTTTTCTTCCTGCTATCTCAACGTTTTATACTTCGGTCCTGCACTGAAGAGCTAATGCTGTGAACTCTCTCAGTTGCTTTGAAACACACTGCGATGTTACTGTTAGCATTTACTTGATTGTAGGCTAGATGGGAGAGGGAAACAAAGCCCTTCTTTAAATGCAAATAGTTTTAATAATTAGCCAGCACAGTAGTACATTATGAAAAGCCTATGAAAGTTACCTGGGTTCCTGTTTCTATGTGAAAGTTTTCCTGTGAGGGAAAGGGTAACTAAAGGATAGAGCTACAGTTTTCCTGTGGCTTCACTGTGGCTTTTTGAGTTAAATGAGGGCACAGTTGGGTGAAAAAATAGAGGAAGTAATCCTGAGTTTCTCACAGGAAAGAACATGTGAAGTTCTATATTTATTTGCTCATGGCATTCTATGTTGTTTATTATCATTTATTTATTTATTTAAGCCCACCATGACTTGGGATATTTTTATGGCTCGAGTTATGTGGCTGCACCAGATGGCAGTCGGACACCTGGACTGTCTCGCACACAGGATGGGCTTTTGGTGGCTGAGGTGGATCTAAACCTTTGCAGGCAAGTTGGTGACAAATGGAGTTTTAAGGTAAGTCCTTATTCTCTAAAGAAACCTGGCCAGTTTGCTAACTTTTATATGACACTGAATGGGCCTTACATGTTAGTTTTTGTGGAATTTAAGCTGTTGCTAAAAATGAAACCTAGTCCTTATGATTCTGAAGATCACACTCGGAAGGTAAGTGGTGGATTGCTCACTTCCTGAGCCTGCAGACAGCCTGAAACCAGACATGAGAACTCTCCTCATTCACCTCTGAAGCCTCTTGCTCTGTTTCACTTTGGAAGTGAATTAAGCTAAATGGAATTTAGGCCACTTTAATTCTGAATGAGAGCATCCACACGGGCGTGTGCTGTGATTTACGTAATCTAACACACCTTTAGTTAATTTAGATTAACTTTCCTGAGGGTATGTCTATATGGCAATCATAGGTGCCGACGGATGCTCGACCCTGCCCCGCCTCCACCCCTGCCCCGCCCCCATTCCAACCCCTTCCCCAACTCTGCCCCCTCCCTGTCCCTATCCCTATTCCAACCCCTTCCCCAAATCCCCACCTCTTCCCCACCTCCTCCCCTGAGCGCGCCACGTTCCCGCTTCTCCCTCCCGGAGCTTGTTACGCCGTGAAACAGCTGTTTTGCGGCGGTAAAAGCTGGGACGCAGCGTGCTCAGAGGAGAAGGCACAGGTAGAGGTAATGTGAGGCAGCGGGCAGGGAGGGAAGCTTGGCTGCCGGTGGGTGCAAAGCACCCACTAATTTTTCCCTGTGGGTGCTCCAGCCCTGGAGCACCCTTGGAGTTGGCACCTATCACTGCAATTAAAAACTCACAGCTAGCCCATGCCAGCTGACTTGGGCTCGTGGGGCTCAGGCTAAGGGTTTAATTGTGGTGTAGATGTTTGGTTTCAGGTTGCAGCCCAAACTCTGGGACCCTCCCACCTCGCAGAGTCCTAGAGCCCGGGCTCCAACCTGAGCCTGAATGTCTACAGAGCAATTTTTCAGCCCTGGAGCTTGAGGCCCGAGAGGCCGAGTCTTCTGACCAGGGCCAGCCACAGGTTTATTTGCTGTGTAGACATACTCAGAGAGTTCACATGTAGTCAAGCACTTAGTTTTAGTCCTCAGAACTGCTATAGGTCTGGAATTTCTATTAACCTTTCCTCCTGAACCCAATATGCACTTTGACTCCTGGCAACAAGTAGGACAAACCCTCTAGCTCAGAGGTGGGCAAACTACAGCCCACAGGCCACATCCGGCCCGCGGGACTGTCTTGCCCGGCCCCTGAGCTCCCGGCTGGGGAGGCTAGCCCCCGGACCCTCCCCTGCTGTCCCCCCTCCCCTGCAGCCTCAGTGCGCTGCGCCACCAGCACTCTGGCCCACCACTCCTGCTGGGCGGCGGGGCTGGCTCTGGCGGGGCTGCGAGCTCCTGTTGCTCTGAGCAGCGTGGTAATGGGGGAGGGTTGGATAAGGGGCAGGAGGTCCTAGGGGAGCAGTCAGGGAGCAGGGGGCGGTTGGATGGGGCGGAGGTTCTGGGAGGTAGTCAGGGAGCTGGGGGCTTTGGATAGGGGGTGTGGTCCTGGGGGGCAGTTAGGGGCGGGGGTGTGGATAGTGGGTGGGGGGGTTGGATAGGCGTGGGAGTCCCAGGGGGCCTGTCTGGGGGCGGGGGTGTGGATAGGGGGCTGGGCAGTCAGGGTGCAGGGGGGTTGGATGGGGGTGGGATCCCGGGGGGGCGGTTACGAGCAGGGTTCCCAGAAGGGGGTGGTCAGGGGACAAGGAGCAGGGGGGTTGGATGGATTCTGAGGGGAGCAGTCAGGGGAGGGGGTGGGGGTGGGGGCCAGGGCCAGGGCCAGGCTGTTTGGGGAGGCACAACTTTCCCTACCTGACCCTCCATACAGTTTCACAATGCCGATGTGGCCCTCAGGCCAAAAAGTTTGCCCACGCCTGCGCTAGCTAGTGACCTTTGCAATCTATCATCCTCTTCCTGCTTGAGTTCTTCAGTTATACCATATTCCAGTGTTTAAAATCAGACATGGTAACAAAGAATTTTATGTCTTTATCTGTACAGAAACACATCCAACTTCCTTGCGTTTTGCTCTTGCATACACTTGTGACATATGGTCTTATGTGTTCTGTGACACACTGGACCTAAAGTCTGTGGAAAGGACTCCTGGTGGCTGTGGTATACTGGTACTGAGTTTTACATCCTCAGTAAAATGAGGGGTCATTTCAGCAGAATGTAGATCTGGGTCATCAGAGAATACAAAAGGCCACCTCAGCTGCAACAGCACATTTTAGATGTATTCAAATGTGGACATTTTTTTTGCTGTGTGAAAATGAGTAGTACAATCAGTACAATATCCCTTGTGCTGTTTTTATATTTGGTTGTTTATTTTATGCTGCCCCCATGTCTTCTGTTTCCAGTGTGCTGCAGTTTTGTATTGATAGTGCAAACCGGCATTGCTGGAAGTTTTGGAAACTGAGTAGAGGACAACTGGGACTTTTGACAACCAGAAAGGAGTAGGATGCAGTTTAAATTTTTGTCATTTGATGGAGATGCATATCCCCTTTCTACTTGTGAGCAGCCAGAGGTGGCTTGACATTTGGGGGTGATGGGCATGACCTTCTTGTTCCCCACCCAGACAACCCTTGACAGCAACCACATATCCCCATAACCTGCTCCAGGATCTGCCCCTGCATCCAGCAACAATGGATAAGGACATTAACTGTATGTTTCTTCTAAAATTATCAGCAGTGAAATAATTAACCATTATCCTCATTACATTTCAGAATTCACTCTATTGCTGTGAGAGGAGCAAGTTCACTCCCCTCAAAGCTAATGTTTCAGGCTGCTTGCACACTCAGGAAGACAACAGTATCAGGTCACATTCAGAAAGCTTTTTTCACAAGTATAATGGCTATAAACTTACTAGGGTTTTGCTCTGAAAAGTGACTGTAAAAAGAGCAGCATGGAATTCATGTTTTATATGGATATCACACACACACACACACACACACACACACACACACACACACACACACACACACACACACACACACACACACACACACACACACACACACACACACACACACACACACACACACACACACAGTCAAGATAGGTTCTTCCCTTACTCTGCATCACCAGGTGATCATGCTACCACAATGGGAGCTGTATAAGTTCCTACATAAATACAGGTTCTGCAGCCCAAATGCTACAGTGACACTTGTGCAAACCCACTGAAAGCAGTGGGGTTTTCAGGTGTTACTGGGAGCATCGTGTGAAGACTTCTCACTTGTGTAGTTCCACTGCCTTCATTGAGTGTACATTGGTGTAACTGGAGTTAGTATATAATTCAGTATATAATTCTGTTAGTGCACAGCAAAGAGACTCCAGCTCTCCCACTCACCTGTGTTATCTCTGCAAAAGTAACACAGGTAAAAAAAAACTGTAAGAATTTATTTTTTGTCCCTAGTTAGCAAATGTGAATCTGAACACACACACAGGGAGTACACATGCTGAGTAAGATGGTGCCAATTTTACATAGTCACTTTCCAGCATAGAACTCCATTTGTAATGTTATTTTAAATGAGAGTTTAGCTTTTGCAAGAGACTGCTTGTGCAGGGCATTGGTAATTTTTGAAGACTGATGGAATTAAGACCTTACTGTTCTTGGTAGTTAATGTTCCTTTTTAAAAAAGTAATGTAAATCAATATTTTTCTATTGAAATTCCTTCCACTGATCATCTGTAATCCTCCTGGATAGCGGGGACGAGAAGGAGCAGCTAATGGGAAGTTACTGAAATAGGCTACAAACTCTGCTTTTCTTTTCCAGATGACTGGTAGATACGAGATGTATGCAGAGGAACTCATGAAGGCTGTCCAGCTTAACTTTGCACCCAATATTATTAAAGAGTAACTGTGGCGGTGTCCTCTGGTAGGAGAGCTCTCACACCAAGATGATAGCACCTTCTTTATAAAACAAAAGTGATCTATGTATGTTAGTCTGCAAAAGTCTCCACCTTCTATTATCTTACAGTTGGTATTGCAACTGAAACTTGGCTGCTAGTCAAAGTGAAAAGTGACTGCTAGTCAAAAGTTACTATAAATTTTTATAAAGCACTTACTGCAAAGTGATGAACAAATGATAGAGGGCAGGGTGAGGAACTCACCTGGTCAGATTTAGCTTAAATTCAGAAATGTGCATTATACTGTATGAGGTGTTGGTGAAAAGGTGATATAGCATAAGCAAAACCAGTCTGGCCCTGTGGAAATGCTAGTGCGCTTTCCCTACATGCTTTGTTGCAGTGGGATAAAAATGTCAATGCTTAAAGGCTTTGTCTGAGACCTTCTGACACATGTAGTCTCCTTTTCTTTGGACGCTGAATCAGTCATATGGTTCAGAAGAGTATCAGGAATACAGGCACTGGCTCTTCGTACTTCCCAAAAGGAAGCGCTAGATAAGGAACTGACTGTATTTCCCCTCACTTCACATGATAACTTTACATTGTCACAAGTAGCTGAACGCTCCTGCTGTCACACAGGTCTAATTTGTTAAGTCATGTTTATGAAAAAGCCAAAAATGGCTCTAAACAAAAACTGCCATTCAGCTATTCTTGTAGCTCTTTCCATTCCTTCACATTGACGCAGACATTGTAAGCTTCAGAGTGATGTTTGGAGTTAGTGTGCCTGCTGGTTGTGTCTATTTGTGTGTGGATTGTGTCGTGCTGGGAGAGTTGTGTAGATTTCTCCAGGCTGGGAATGAGGAGGGTGGCTGTAGTGAGAGGCTATGTGTGTTTGGGATTCTTGTGTGTGGGTTACATTGTGTTGAGAGATTTGTATTGATTTTTGTGTCTGTGGCAGTTGGGCCAGGTAATCCAGCATTTGTGCAGTTTCCTTAGTACAGCCAATGAAATTATTGCATGCAAATTAGCTGTAGAATAAGGTTGGTTGGTTGCGTTACCTCTGATATCACAATGGTCTCGAACTCTTGGCGTAGAGATGCATGCCTTACTATAGCTGTGCACCACACAGGTGTAATACGTAAGGTCAAAATGGCTGAGAACTTAAAAATTGGATGGTAGTAGGCCATGAAACCCAGTGATGATAGAACCTGGTGATATTCTAAACAAACAGAGCTTTCAAGCCATGCTTGGACCTGCTGCCATTGCTTCACACTGACTCAACAGACATTTTAGGCTTCAGAGTGCCATTCCTAGAATCTTCTTATATGGATGCTGCCACAATACATATTTCAGCTTGGGGACATTGTACCTCTTAGGTTATTTATCTTGCTGGGGAGGTAATGCCCTTAGCCTTGCTGTTCCACCATCTGACTCCTTAGAGCCGGGGTGCCAAACATATGGCCCATAATCCTACACATCCCACCAGAGCATTCATAAGGCCCACAGCGGGACTCAGGCTGTCAGCCCTGGGTGGCAGGACTCCCACTGTTACCTGAAATCTTATTAAAATATGTAGAATCTGTTTGGCCCACACAAGGTTGTCTTAGATTTCTGTGGCCTTCTAGTATAATAAGGTTGGGCAGCACTGCCTTAGAGAATTGGTGTATCTAAATTGGTGGTTTAAAAAAATGAACTGCATGTTCCATGTACTAGTTTTACAGGGGAAAATACAGAAGGAAAATATCTGGCCAAAAACGGAGTGGCTGAAGTTAGGTTCTTATGTCAGTGCTCAAATAAGGATTTAGGAGCCTAATTTTTGGCAACCATTTTTAACTCTCTCGTGAAGAAAGATTTAAAATGAAATGTGTATGGTTTGGCTTGGCTTAGTGAAGATGAAAGGGACCTGGGGGCTATAGAAAAACCTTTGAGTGAGCCAAGGGTCTAAAAGTATATAGGGCCTGGTCTACAGTACGCGGTTCTTTTGGAATTAGCCGAATTACCTCGAAATAAAACTGATTCCATCCACACGACCAAACCAGTTTTTTCGATTTAAAGGGCTCTTTACTCCAATTTCTGTACTCTACCTCGGCAAGTGGAGTAGCACTAAGATGGAATAAAAATGAGAAAAAGATTTGTTTGTAGAACTCCCAATAAAAAAATGTAAGGGTATCATTTTCTTAAGACAGGTTTCAGAGGAACAGCCGTGTTAGTCTGTATTCGCAAAAAGAAAAGGAGTACTTGTGGCACCTTAGAGACTAACCAATTTATTTGAGCATGAGCTTTCGTGAGCTACAGCTCACTTCATCAGATGTTTACCGTGGAAACTGCAGTTTCCACGGTAAACATCTGATGAAGTGAGCTGTAGCTCACGAAAGCTCATGCTCAAATAAATTGGTTAGTCTCTAAGGTGCCACAAGTACTCCTTTTCTTAAGAGAATTGGTGGAAGTTCCCTTGTTTGGGACACTTACGACAAGTGATCAGTAAACAGTGTGAGAAAGTAATCCCACAACGGCAGGGGGTAACACTGGGTACTTTGTAGACCTTTTCCAGTGCTAAAACCAAATTGGTCTGTAACACCAGAGTAATTCCCATTGAAATCAAAGGTATTATTCTGTTTTATACTGATAAAATTTAGTTCAGAATCTAGCCTCTAATATCCAATTTGTATCTTAACCATCTTAATGCTCTGCAATTTTAAAAATGTCAGTCAAGCAGGATTAAATGCTACACATTCTATTAGGGCTTTACTCTAAACTCCATGAAGCTATTATGAACGTTGCTTTCTAGAGAATTGATTAGTTTGGCCGTGAAGGACAGAGACAGCTTTGTAGCGAGACATCTTTTTATATTACAGCCAAGCCAAACAGAACTCTAACAGTGTTCAGTACTTTGTAATGGAATGTATTACTACTGCAGACTTCCATAGCACTTCAGGATTTTGTTGTCTTATTTTCCTGTAGCCAGTTTTTAAATACAGGCAACTAAAGCTTCTAAGCAGGGCCCCAAATGACATTAAGGAAAAAAAAAATGAAGGCGGCTGCCTAGGAAGTTTTTTCTGTAGTATAGGCAAGTAGCTTCCAACCTTCAGTCCGGTGATTGTCCCACCAGAAATACAGCCATTGCATGATGCATGGGTATAACAAATGCTAGAGGAATTCATTCAGTATCATGTGCAGGAACAGACCATGTGATGTGAGTGGGGAAAAGGGGGTGAGGGTGGGGGGGTCAGTAGAGAGAAAGAAATGTAATATTTTAAAGTTTTGTTCGTAACATGCATTGTCTGCTCACTTTTAAGTCATGTTTATGAAAAAGCCAAAAATGGCTCTAAACAAAAACTGCCATTCAGCTATCTCTCCCCGTGTCACCCCCACATTAAGCACTTAATCCAAGCAGCACAAGAAAGCAGGGAACCCCAGCTCTGTGGCAAAACTAACTGCCTGAAATGCTTGTAAGCAGCAGGACTTGTTCTCTCTCTCCAGTGGGGTATTTTTGCCTATCTTCTGTTATCTCTCTGTATAGCACCACCGCCAGGTTGAGATTTGGCCATATTTATTTTTTATACAATTTAACTGTAGAGTCTGGGATTTAATTGCTTTCCTTCTATTGTTTTGTATTATAAAGCATTTAATACAGCCCACCTAGAACCAGATAGTGGCTCCAAACAGGACGTGACTACTAGTTGGGAATCACTGGTGCAGATAAGGCTTCTGTGTATTGATCCCATTAAAAGTATGTAAACACTAGCAAATTAAACTATTGCAAGGATGATGACAGGACATTACGGTTTATCACCTAGTTTGACCTTGCAGCAATTTAGCACATATACCCACCCCACACCATACCACCATAAGTTGAACCAATGCTTTTGGGTACTCCTGTAGTACCCAGTAATGGTGCTAGAGGCACAGAGGCTATTAAGGAACCTCCAAAAGCCCAGCATTGCATTGTGAGATGGAATTAGAAGGAGCAGCTGAACTGGTGCAGCAGTTGCAATTCTTGTGGCTTCTTTCAAACAATGCAGAGAAATTGGTGTAGACTGCACCAGTGCAGAGCAGAAGACCTCAACCAAAGAGTTGCACTCAGCTAGGATACCCACTGGTTGTGTGATGCCTGAGACAAATGTAGGGTGTGGATAGCAACGGTACAAGGAATGCTTTGAGCTGGGAATGTAACCAGTTTTGCTTCCCTTTTTGTTTGCCGATTATAGTCTGATGTAGTGATGTGTCTGGGAAAAGTGAAAGGAATAAGACCCTAAATCCTAACGACAGCGTACCCACAGCTGAAGTAAATATTTGTCTCTTAAGAGTTTCAAAATGGCAGTTTCAGCTAACTGTATCATTTTTAGTTTAATACATATTTCTTTTAAAGATCTTCACACATTTTTGCATAATAAACTGGTTGACAAATACAGCTGCTACTGCTACACTATGCTATAGGGTTCACTTAAAACCTTTATTGAGAATGGCTCAATTACAGAAAAAATATATTTATGTATAAAATTTCTCTGCATGTAAAATATCCCTTTCTTTGCTGTGGACAATATGAATAAAACAAGGTATTACACAGAAACATTCTCAGGGTGAACTTTTTGATAAGCAAACTTCTAATTGAAAAAAGATAGACATTCTTTATTTTTGCCCAATTAACTTCTTTCTTAACCTAACGTTTGACTCATACCTTCTCAATATCAGCTCTACTCAAATATGGCCTTCACCTCTTCTCTCTAGGCTCACTTTCCAGGGCAGTCTTCAACTTGTTTTCCTTGGCTGTAGGAGTTCATGTGGCAGTGAAGGGCTCCTGTTTTCTTTGTCACTTCATCAGCTGTAATTTAATCTTTAAATTCCATTTAACTATTTAAAACCCAGCCACCCAAATATTTCTTAACCCAAACAGCAGTAAAAATGATTACACCCATATATATGCTTCCATCATTTACGTTAGGTATTCTCACAATGAGACAAGATTCCATTTTGTCTTTGAGTTGAATACATGCAGTGTAATGTCTGCTCTCAAGTTGGTTCAAAACCAGAATCTGAACACCAGAACCAAATACAGTCCAGCTCAAACCAGCTGTATGGCAACATATCATTACTCTTAACCCCTCTGTAAGAACGATTTTCATTGGGCTAAACACACCCTTTTCAGTAAATAAATTCCATGGTGATTAAATTATATTGGAGGAGTTATGTGATGGGAAAAAAAGCACAGATTAAAAAAAGATATTGACTAGTTAGTTTACAGATGTGTTATTAGTAACATAGCTAGAAATCCTTCACAGTGAAGCATTACACACAAATGGACTTGGACATACAATTCTCTAAGTCAGTGGCCAGCTGGTAGCTTAGCCAGTTTTGTAGGCATTATAAGGCAAAGCCTGTTACTGGTTTTGGCCACAGGGCCTCTGCAGTGATTGTAATGGAACTGCTGATGCTTCCGTTCTGTCAGCCAATGACTTGTATCCTAATTCCCAGTCATCTTCACATGCAGCGGGTGCTTCAGTGCATTCCAGCCACACCTGCTGTAAATTAGTTCTGATTGAAGACAAGTTTCCATCAAACTCGTTTTTCAGATTTTGCAAAGGAACTGCATTTCTACTCACCTACCACTGTATTTCAGGCACTGAAGAAAGGAGCACTCTAACTTATATTGAACATACCCTGTCAAGTACTTTTTGGGTACTCTCCAGTGTTTGCAAGCCACCTAGATTAGAAAATGTTTTTCCTTACAACTTTTATCCTTTAGTGTATTGCTAAACACTGACTCCCTGTACACTGTTTTCACCAGAAAGGGTGCCTTGTATTTACTAGCTGCACCATCAAGGATTACAGCTTTAGGAAATGGGTTTAAGATGTGTCTCCTCGGCTGGTTGTCTAGGTACAAAACATAATGTTATAGTGCTTACATCGATAGCAACTTTTTTTCTTTTGTTTTTAAAATCATTTAGAATTTGGAGGTGAGTTCCAACCAGTTATAATTTTAGAGTAGACCAGATTTTGGGCCCAAAGTGTTTGCTAGCGTGTCTTGAAGTCAATTGTACATATCTGAATTCTCAGCTGAAAAGGCTAAGTATAAAATCAAGCACATTTATATTGTAGTTAAAGTCATAAAGCTAAATTTCAAGAGGCGATGAGACTGGGAGTCAAAATTTGTAGGAAGTGTAAGGACAAAGCTGAATTCTGTCCTACACTTCAGTGCTTCTCTGCCAGGCAGGTGATCCCAGATAATATGTTCAAGGGGCTGCACGCAGCCTGCTGCAATCTTACAGTTTAGCTTAAAGCATCAGAGTGCAGTGAGGACCCTGCTGCTTATTCCAAAACACAGCTGCTGAGTGAGAAGAGGTAGAAAGTCTGGACTCCTGCTATAACATCTTTGGACTTCAGCCAAGAGAAGTTTGTTCTCCCTGCCTTCTCAATTAGAAGCAGAGTTCTGAGCCGGGCTACTGGCAGTATCTATTCCTGGGAAATCCCTCAATAAATCTCAACAACAAACGTTTAACCTCAAATTACAATACAGGCTTTGGGCAAAATCTTTTCTTTCTCCTGCCAGACATTTAAAGCAACCCCCTGCATGCCAGGCATAAACCCTCAGTGCTTCGGTGGCTACTTACTTAGTGCATTTGCTTAATCAACAGTTTAAAAACTGTACCTAGACTTGATCCCCGGATACTGCAGAGAGAGAGGGAGAGTGTTGTGGGCAGAAAGATGTTTCCAAGCCTTTGCATACAGACTTAAAATTTCTTAGACCCAAATAAAATGTCACCAGTCACCCTTTTGGGGCAACACAGAACTTTGGTCAAGCCATTCCTAGAGACGTCTTAACTCATGCAAGATAACTCAGTAGGCAAAATGACACTAGGTGCGGTGCTTACTACTTGGAAGGAGTAGCCTATAGCCCTTAGCAGGAAGACTGATCCTCCACTGACAATAAGTCCAAACTGCAAACTCAACTCCCAGGTACAGGTGTTGAGAGCAGTCAAGCTGGGTTTACACAAGAAGCTTGCTTCGTAAATGGTATTTCATTCCCATTATGCAGGCAATGCTGATAGGATCTGCCACAGTATGTCAACAGCTGACCAATCATTTTCTTCCTTGAAAAAAAATAATCATGGGGCAGGTTAATCATTTATCCTATCTACACCCTTCTGATCATTAAATCATGAATGAAGATCAGCTCTGGCAGTTTTGAAGGCAAACCAATATGTATTTCCTCTTTTTCCTTTCTTGCTTCGTGTAGCTGAAACTGCACAAATTTCCAAGTGAAGATTAAATGTGTACTTGGTGTATTTTATTTCAAGTCTTTAATTCAGAAACAAGCTCATAGCCAACTGTAAGAGTTGGACTCTGAGGGGATTGCATTTTGAAACTGCTCTCAAATGTGCAACGTTAAAATTAAAATGTGTTTGTGTTATATATTGCAACATCAGATAGTTCATCATCAGGAATAAAAAGATGAAGACAACACTGCAATATATTTGTATGAATGTCTATAAAGCATCCCTTGTTTAAGATCCCACTGCAATTCAGGAGCTAAGTCTCTGCAGTAAGAGTCCTGAGACAAGCAGCCAGCTGCCATGCGGGTGCTGGGCAGACTGCACCAGAAATGACAAAGCAGCAAGCTTGGATGTCAGCTGTCCGTGTAGATAAACAGGATATCCTCATCTGTGCCGTAACTTGTCCTGGCTTCCTCAAAGTTACTTATGCTGGTGCTGCATGTTCCTGTGGGACAGGAGCAGAGTGTTAGTCAAGCTGAGCCAGGGGAAGAATTTGCTCATGAACAGCGCTTAGCCTGGCTTTGGATAAACCGAGAACTAGACCTCATGGGCTTGATCTTGCAGCCCTTACTCGCTTGAGTAGTCCCATTGATGTCAAGGGGAATGCTTATTTGCATAACAACTGCAGACGTTGGCTCTGTATAATCACACACCATGTTGTTCTTTCTTCAAGATACCAAACGTGTACAGTTTAGCTCTCCTAAACTGTGTCCCTCTGAATACTCAATCAGAGGTATGAAGGCCATAGAAGAACCTATTAGAATGTATTTCCAATGCTTCATCTGAATCACAGCACAAAAAAGAATGAAATCACTGAATTCTGTAAGAACAATCATGGGCCAATCAGCTGGTGCCGCCTGACTCAGATGCCTGGTATCGGGAAACTCCAGCTGGTTTTGCATTATGCACGTTAGTAATGAGAAGATGGAGAATCCACACAGAATGAAGTAAAGTTCAGCTACTCACGGTCAGCATAGGCAGGGTTGTTGTAGTAGACACTCCCTGAGGCTTTGTTGTAGCCACACAATACAATGAAATGGCCCTGGTAGTCAGGATTCCTGCAGAAGCACTTCTGGCCAATAGGGAGGAAACAGCAATATTTGACAGGACTTGAGCAAAGTTCACACAGTAACAAGACTGCATTCACCAGGACAATGGCTACATGACCTTGGGACAGGTGCTCCTGAATGTCCTGGACAGTCACTGTGCTGCAGAAGAAAATTCAGACATTCACAAAGAAGTGTAGGAGAGAGATCTGTATTCACTGGATTGGGCTCTCCCAACCATGTGAGTGTGGATGATGTCCATCTCTGTTATGTGACTGCTATGATTATTTTACATATCTTTGTTGTTGAGGGCTCTACAGCAGCTGCGGACAGTAGGTATTCCATCCAAGTCTATTATACCCTCACTGCCAGTGAAGAGCAGAGCCATTCTGGCTGAAATTCTATAGAGCATGCTTTAAAATGAATAGAATCTCAGGATGTCTCAGATGCCCTGGAGGAGCAGCATTTTTGTCAGAAGTATGAGATAACCATTCAACACTAGGGAGATTAGTTAATTTATGGGGCAGTTAGGGATGCTGTAGAATCCCATTCCACCACCTGGAAGCCCAAATGCAGCTGGTCTCTAAAGCACCAAGTCTTTCTCAGCTGAGGGATTGGATGGCATAAGATCCCCAATCATCTTGGTCTCTGCATCCTAAGATACCTTTGTCAGGTAAGAATACAGCTTCCCAATTATAAAGTTGCATTATCTGGCTCTCTATTCTTGCCAGGATTGTTGTTCTAATATTTTATTGTGCCCAATTTAAGAGCATGAAAATCACCCATGCCCACCTGGTAATCTCATTTGTTTGAGCTGAAGTTCTTCATTCAGAGACACAGACAGATGGTGTGTTCCATACCAGTCTGCACTCATCCCCTGGATCAGATCCAAATGTTCAGGCTGATGTCCTTTTTAATCTCTTCCGGCACTGCTCTTCCCCTTGCCTTCTCAATCCTAGTGTTGCACAGGCGCAAATACAACCTCCCCCCCCAATCTCTGATGTGAGCCAAATGCTAAAGCTTTGTTACTGTGCAAGATATGGCCTAGATTTTTGCCATCGCCTCCTCCTCCTCCCCCTCCCCCCAGGTCACAGCACTAGGATAGATGTTGCCATGCAAACTCTGAGTACATTAACAGGGCACTAAAGACTCTGGCAAATGCAGGTTTAAAAAAGCATGTAAAAACACAATAAGGCCATTGTTTCTAGGCACAAATAGTACCTTCCCTTTTTTCTCTTGCTACTACTCATCCACCCCAGTAAACAATATGCAGAGTCAAATGCAACCCTGGTGGAAGTGGATGCAACTCTTGACTTCAGTTTATACCCATTTACAATCAGAGTCTTTTCTCCTCTTCCAAATTTTGCTATCAGCAAAAGGGTTTTAAGCCACGAGTGTGATTTTTCTCTCTCCCATGTTTGAGTCTCTCTCCGGGGAGGTTCCTTCTCCTATGATGTCATCCTTCCTTTGGAAAATATTGTAAATTACAGGGTTTCCAAGGGAGCAAAAGCATGCATGCCTGATTTTGGTTTATTTCTCTAAGTACAGAGCTCAGCAGTGTTAGCACAGCTCTGGGAACAATGGGTTTTGTGCCACTACAACATTCGCTTCAGCACTGATGGCAACTTTTTTTAATAAAAGCTATTTAGAAGACATTACCTACTAGTTTATCTTAATGGAAGACCAAATTTTCGGCCTAAATAAACAGCCAGTTTCCAATCAGCAAATCCAAAATACTGCTTTTCCCCTTTCAGGGCTCCACTTTTCTGCTCTTCTTCCCATTTTGCTTCCTCCCTCTGTCTCAATGGAAGTGAAAAGACAGCGTGGGAAATAAAGAGGGGGTGGAGCCTGAATTCAGTCTGACTTACACCAGCACAGTCAGAGGTAACTCAAAGGAGTTAGACAAGTGTGAAAGGAGACTCAGGCCCCTACAGTCTCCAAAGGGAAAAGGAGATGAAATGACAAGCTCACCACTTCTCCACCAGCACCTTGCTGGCTTTGGCTTGGGCGAATAGCTGGTTCACTCTGTTCTCTTCCGTATCAAAGTGTTTCCTGTAGAATGACTAAGGGATAAAGAATAATTTACGAACAATTCATCAGAATGAAATTCACCCTAGTAAAGTGAATCTTCAATTAAAAACCGGTTAGAGAGGGACTGGGTGGTTTAGGGGGTTGATAATGGGTTACGGTGTCATTCTCCCTCAGGTCACCAGAAACAGGATAAGAACCTCTCCTCTAGTTCATCAGTTCAAATTCAGTCCAGGTCAGTGGTTATTGCAGTCTCCAGCTGATGGCTATTGAGCTGCCTATGTGAAATGAATCTGGTCATATCAACTTAGTTCTTAGATTTCAGGACTCCACATAAGAAAAACCATAACCACTACTGGATCGAATTGGCCCTTTTGTTGGCAATATCAACAGAGGCCAAGGATTGAATGGACATGGAGACTGAATTCCCCTCTCACCTCTAGAGGTGGTTCCTCCAGGTCAAGGTTGAGGCACGTTGGCGGGGGAAGTGTAGTGGAAGCTAGCACTGCTGCTGCCCAGGCTGTACCTGTTCTGTAGATAAATAGAGGGCTTCAGTCTCCAAGGCTGTTAAATAGGCTGGAACCTTTCATGAACACTGAATTGGTACTATTTTTTAAAACGTACATCATGGAATCAGTGCCGGAAAATATCCGGGACCACATCTAACCTGGGTTTGGAATTGTTTCATGGACAGTTTGGCAATAGACAAACCTTGCTTACAGGAATGGAGGTTAACCACATCAATAACACAGCTCCACCAGCATGGCCCTGATGGAGCGTGATGGAAAGTGCCTGATATTTCCCAGTGAACGAAGATGCTCACCTGATTTTTATAGCCCTTGTCCACTCCAAGTGTCTGTGTGCAGAACCTATGTTTAACATCAAAGTGCCGCATTAGGTAGGCCAGGTCAATGGTCCAGATACTCTTTGTTAACCGGAGTTCCCGGATGGCTTTCTGAAATTCCTCCTCATTCAAACGATTCAGGTACCTGGGGTATTAGAGGAAGTGGGGAAGCAAAGACATTAGCAGAAAGTGTGTCTAACAGTCCAAAGCCTCTTAATATCACAAAAGGGAAAACCTGAAACAATAGGGAGAAACAACCAAAATACAACCCACAAATGAACCACAAATTTCCAAAGAAATGGGGTAGGGAGCATTTCACTGGATTTATCACAGGTGACTGTCTCCCTTTTGGAAATTTAGTGCTGTCTTAATTATTTTACAATTCTAAAGGTGTACAGGACGCTGTACAAGAGGTTAGCTGTGCTAAACAAATAATGGGGCTCTATCCTGAAGAGTTTACAATCTAAAAGCACGAATTCAACAGAGCAAATGCAGGAAGGGGTATGGCAACTATAGCTGGATTGATTCATGGAATAGATGCGTTTCAGAAGGAGTTTTTTGAAGGAGGAAAGGAACTCGGTAAATATTCAAAGGAAGGTTGCTTCAGGCACTAAGGGTAGTGTGAATGAAAAACAGTTGAGAGGCTTGGAAGGCAGAAAAAAGGAAGGAAGCCATTGGAATTCAAGAGGGAAAGACACAAGGTCAGATCGGCAGGGTAAGATCAATCTTGGCAACGGAGGTTTTGAATAAAGTGGAAAGGAAAAGAGGAGAGGGGGATGGAGAGGCTAGAGGCAGAGGTTACAGTAGTCAAGATGGGAAATTACCAGCGCACGGACTAACGTCTTGGCAGAAGGGATGGAGAGAAATGAAAATCTTCTGCTTCATATCTACTAAGTGGACATCTAAATAGGTATTTCACTCTCCTGCACCTAAGCTCGTGTTCCTCTGTGGAAGGAAAGACTAGTTCAGCAGGACAGCTAGTAGGTTAAAGAAAATGGGCAACACAGAGAATAGTTTTGAAATTCATATTCCTGGAACGGAAAACATTTACCCCACAGAACGGATGCCCAATAGGACAGTGGCAAGATACTAACTCTTATAAATACAGAAGAAACCTGCTTGTCATTTGAAGACACACACAAAGGAATTCAAGGGAATTATAATGCTGTGATTTGTAACAGTTCCAATAAGCAGAGAGAACATTCTGTCAGACAAAATGTGCTAATCTGCAAGGATAACATTCTATTGGGTTAAACATGCTAATCTACAAAGTTCTTAAAGTTAATCAGATATTTTGTATATATCAAGAAACTTGGTTAATTATCCTTCGTCTGTGTTTTCTTTTCCTCCTGCTGGAATACTGGTGCTATGCCCAGCGAGGCAGCAGTAATCCTTTGCAGGGCATTGGAGAAAATATGGTCTGATGAAGATGTGAGGTTAGTCACAGCTGCCCCACCCAACTTTTCTCCTTTGATCTTCGATCCTGGTCTTAGGAAGGGTCCTACAGTGGGGATAACATTTCCCAACTCCCCATGCTCAAACCCACTCCTTTGAACCACAATCAGTTACTTACTGCAATGCCATCCTGGAGCAGGCTAGCCCACAGTCCCAATGGTACAACTGCTGAATAACTGGCACTTGCAACTGGACATAGTCAGCTGGAGTAAAAACAACGCATCGTTAGAAGAGCATGATAGGTGAGTTAGCCTGGATGTGTGTATCCTTCCACACATTAGTATTAGCAGTCCTCTTGTGCTGTACTGGGGCACTTGAGAAACACTTTTTATTTTGTCCCATTAGCAGGTTATGCTTCTCAGCATAAATTTAATATTTTTTTTAAACGGTCCTTTTCCAAATTGTAAAAGTAAGTGAACCATCAAGCATCTGTTTTAACCTGACACTCCCTCTTTGCTACAGGTCTGGCCAATTCTGTAGCAAATTCATCCACCTCTTCCGCCCTAAATTTTTTTCTGGTCATGGCCCTTGTATGATCACAAAGCGGTAATCACACCCTAAGAGAGAGATCAGGAGATCAACAGACTTTTTTATCTTCTTTTGTGGTGTGTCCAAAACTGAGTCTCTGGGTTTAAACAGACTTTGTGACTGTGGCATCCTTCTGTGCACTCTAACCACCAAAGATGTGCCAATACTCAAGCGTGTTCATCCAGCAAAAAAACATACCATGCCACAAGGAAGTGCTAATTGAGCCTGTGATCAACAGAAACAATAGGAGGACTTGTCTCTTCAAGAACACTACACTGAGCTACAGCAAGACTGTGAGAAGTTGTGTTAATGCAATGGCAACTGTGTCTTTGCAGTCAGTGTAAAGACCAGGACAAGGTGTGTTCAACATCATGTGGGCTAGTCATGGTCAACATCAACTCCTCAAGGTTGTGCTCTAACTTGATGTAATTTTCTAGGGAAGATATGCCCAAAATGCTTTTAGCAGAAACAGGCCATCGTGGATTTTGTGGCCTCCTTCCAAAATTTCTCACATTCCTATGTATTCCATTCTTTCTAGCCTTTCCCTTGTAGCTTTGAAAACCAGTGTACCTGCTGAGGACATCAAGTCTCTTTAGTTAATCTATGTCTGGCCAGCACAGATCAATGTACTAACTCATTATACTAAAGGAAATGCTAATCCCCAAGGCCTACTCAATTTAGGAATTATAAATCATTTGTCATAAATCCCTGCTGGTGGATTATACTAACCTCATTTTCCACTAAGGACTCTACCCCATTAGGTCCAAGAACACATTTTCTACATTACAATCTCAAACAGTAATAACTGAAGCCTAATGTGTCAACTAATTTCCTTTGATTTATTGAGTTGCCAGCCATCCTACCTTGCCTTACACACCCTTTGCTGCACCAACTTCATATTACTTTTCAAGATCCCTAGATGAGGATGATTGCCAGCTGTTCTGGAATAAATGAAGTGATAAAATATGTTCCAGCAATAAACTGAACTGGATGATCATCTCCAGTTTGGTAAATACTCAGTGTGACAGGTTTACAAAAAGCAGCCACTAATTCCAGATCCCTAGTGGACAGCACCACCCTCCTCCTCAACATGGATCTTAGGCAGGTTGGTGCAACCATTATCCCTGATCTGATAGACCTGGAAGTGTAGAGAAGACAGATCCTCGAAGGATTTGCCGGTAGCTTGCGAAGACACCACATCTTCCTGGAACAGTGGTATCTTCCCAAACTGAGTGCCCTAGTTCTATCGTCTGTCCAGAGTGATACAAATCCAATCCCAGGACTCCTTTTTTTTTTTCACTATACACTCAAAAGCCCAGAATGTTCTGTTGGAAAATAACTATCTGGTATTTAAATTATACCCAGATTCTCACACTGAACCCAGTTCAACAGGAAGAGCTTCCGCACAAGGTATTAGTTATAGAAGACGCTGCAGAACGGTGCTCAGGGAAGTGGGCATAGACCCCGTCTTAGCTGTTTAATTCTAGCCCTTCCCCCATTCATGCAGTTACATTCACCGGCAGCATCTGATTTAAAAATCCCATCCAGGCATCTCTGCAGAATCAGAGCCTTAATATCCTTGGGGGTAATATCTCTTATAGGGACAGGTAATTTTTTCTGGTATCTCCTCCAGCCTTTAAAATACTGCTTTAGCTCTAAATCTTCACCTGCTGTATTAGTGATCACAGTGTGAACAACAGCGGGTGTGCAGAGGACTATTGCCGGCAAGGGCTGCAGACCAGTCAGGGCCTGCGAATGCCTCAAACTTCTCATGAGAGAGTCAATGTAGGCATCTTTTATTGGACCAACTTCTGTTGGTGGAAGGTACAAGCTTTCAAGATACGCAGAGATCTTTCCTCAGCTCTGGGAAAGGAAGCAGAGACACTGAGCCAAATACAGTTTGGGACGGATGTCAAGCAGAAGGGGTAACGCGTGTAGGAGGCCGTCGCTTGAAATGAAGTGGCCAAGTGGGGGTTAGATTGTTATGCAGAAAGGGGCTGGGGGTCCGGATCCCCCCCGGGCAGGGCGCAGCGAAGGGGCTGGGGGTCCGAGGCGGCTCCAGCCCCCTGGCAGGGGTCCGAGGCATCGGGGTGGGCTGGCTGCCCGGGCAGGGGCTGGCGAGGGTGCCCTGGGGGCGGGCGTCGCTCGGAGGTGGCTCGTTTGCTGGGCCCCAAAACCCGTCCCGGCCGCGCCCGGGGACACACTGACCTGAGGGCGGCTCCGAGTCCGCGGCCTCCTTGGGGCTTTTCATGCCGGCGGAGAGGGGGCCAGGCTGCTTAGTGAGCGGCCGCCAGGCCCGGGCCGGGCTGCAAGGCTTGGCGGGGCCGGGACCCCCACATGTCTCGGAGCGGCGCTGCTCCTGCCGGCCCCGGCGCTGCTGCCTGGCAGGGGCGGGGCGGCAGGAGCTGCGGATGCGGCGGGCGGGAGAGCTGCGGCTCCGGGCCCAGCCCCGCACAGCGGGGACTGGGGGGGGGGGGGAGTGGCGAGAAGGGAGCGGGCCGCGCTCAAGACGGCGTCGCCATACCCGCCCCCGGGGCTATTCCCGCCGCCCCCGGCAGCTGTCAGCAGCGCGCGTCCCCCTCCCCGGGCGGGTCAGTCCCCACAGGGCAGGCGTTATGGGGGTATATGTGCACCCCCAGCCAGATGCCCGAGTGATACAGCGGGCGGGCGGGCGGGGGGGCTTTTCACCTCTGCCCCCGGGGCCGGGTGTGTTAAAACTCGCAGCGGCGGAGCCATGGTTTCCCGACCCGCCACGCAGGCCAGGGAAGCAGGCGGAACCTTTGTTCGGGGCTGGTGTATCCCCGCGGGACGCCCTCTCCGGGGGCCCGCTCACGAACCATAGAGTTGAAAGGAGAGAGGCGCTCGGGAAGCGCTCTCTCCGGGCAGTGAGGCCTTTCCGGTTCCGGTGCGCAGGGCATGGTGGGATATCGGGGGAGGCCATTAGAGCGGTAAAGCTGAGCCCACGCTGAATAGAGAGGTGCCTCGCGGAGCGTAAGTGGCAGGCGGGAGCGCGGCCTCTCAGCGGCCGGTGGGTGAACTCAGGCCGCCCTGCGTGTGGGGAGCTGGGCTGGGGCCCCGTGGGGGGAGGGTCTCTTCTCAGCGCTCCCCTCCCCCAGTGACCCGAGGGCCCGGGCTCCCGTCGGCGCCCCATCCCCCGGGACACCGTCAGGACCCGAGCTCTGCAGTGGTGAGGCAACGTGGGTGCCGTGAGCCTTGTAGCTCGTCTGGGGTTAGCGGCTGTGGAGGCGGATTTGTTTTAGTACCGCGCCAGGAGTGTGTCGGGATCTCCCCGTGGAGCATTGGTGTAGCTGGATCCTTTGCTTTTCCCGGCCCAGGAGGTTGGCGGGGTATAACCGGGCGCCACGGTGGAAGGTTTTGTATGTCTGACTAACCTGCCCCTTTTAATAAGTCCTTTCTGACTTTTAATAAAACAAAAAGGGTTAAAGTTTAGAACTGCCTTCAACTGAGTATAGAAACATCCCATTTCACCTCACCCCCACCTCCCCACACACGATTTTCCCACCACCTTTCGTCCTCTTTAATTACAACAGTCCTAGTTACAGCGGGGAAGGGATGGGGTGAGACAAGAGACCAAAACCATGCAGTGTAGCTGCCAGGTGAGTCCTTCATCTATTAAATTAGATAAGAGTCGGTTTTTTACGTAGTTCAAAACATACCCTCTAGATGGTTAGTAAGAATTACTTAATGAGATTTTATATATATATATATATATATATATATAATTTACTTACATAAATAGTTCCCTTTAGGTCCATAACTGCATAAGTAAGGATTTGCAGCATCAGGATGTAATGCACATCACTGGCCTTGCCATATCATTTTAATAGGCTCCTTAGCCATTTCTTTCCAATTCTAAAGAGGTAATATCTCTTGTTGTACCAATTTCTGTTAGTGAAGGAGACAAGGGTTCAAGCTACACAGAGCTCTTATATCTTTATTAAAGGAAGTACTTCACCCACTTTTTCTCTCTAATATCCTGGGACCAACATGGATATAACAACTCTTTCCTGTATGGTAAGGTAATTCTTCTAGTGGAGACCATATATATTCTCAACCTCAGGCATTTCTGAAAGGAAATAGCTCTTGTATCAGAAATGTCACTTTAAGTCACATTGCTTCTGTGTCACTTTAATAGAAAATTTGTGCACTAAAACAGTGCTCCCAAAGCTTGAGAAAATCCCCTACGTGGTACAGATACCTCCATCACAAGCTTGTGAGACATTACACTAACATTTATATCTTGGGGGAATGTCCAGCATGTTGTATGTTTTTATTATGATACTTAAAAATACAGTAATGTAATATGGAATGCTCTTTATGTAGTTCCTACCTCTTTGTAAGTATCATTTCCATCAAGAAATGAGTTTCTGTGAATACACTGTGTGTGAGTCAGCATCTCTAACTGAAAGGAAAGTAGTATTTTCTTTCGCTAGTAGCAAGCTAGTGTTTTGAAACTGCTGATTCCACTGCTTTGGTATTCTTACTCTGGTTTCATTTGGCTGGTATGGGCCATCACAAAGTTAGTTATGTCTACTTAACTCTTCTAAAATTATTATAAAAGAGCCTCTCACTCCTGTTTCTTGACTAACCCATCAAATTCCTCAGTACTTCTGAAAATGTAGAAAATTTGTAAAGTTTTTCTTCCCCATCCTCCATGACTCTCTCTGAGTTCCCCATTTCTTTCCCTGCTACCAAGATTTTGAGACCAACATAGTCTTTAAAATAAAACTATTTGGCAATTACATAGCAGTTCAATGTGCACAGAAGCCTTAACACTGATTACCTGTTCTGGGAATAGCCATGGTGACAGAAGTCCTGTTTATCAAGTTGACACTTTTTAAGGACACTGTGGGAAAAGTGTGGGACATCTGTGGGAAAAGTGAAGAAAAAAAAAAAAAAACAGGAGTGAGTAGTCCTGAATTTTCTGGACTAGAAAAGTTTGTTAAAGGTGTCTAAGTGAAAATCTGTATTATGTAGGCAAAGAAACTTACACGCTATTCCTTTTTTTTGGCCTAGGTTTAGAGCTGTACTGTTGCAAAGATGTCCATCGGAGTGCCAATTAAAGTGCTGCATGAGGCAGAGGGCCACATCGTGACATGTGAGACCAATACAGGGGAAGTCTACCGTGGCAAACTCATTGAGGCTGAGGACAACATGAACTGCCAGGTATGTCTGGGAAAAGGGGATGTGAATGGTGTATTTTTGGAAAGGTCCATCTTTGGCTGATTGTCAGTATTTAAGTAAAGCTGACAATTTCTACTCGGAGATAAAGAAAGATGAGTTATCCTGCTTCATAGCTTTGCCAAAATGACAGTCTCTCTTGTGACATTCTAGAGAGGGGACAGCTTAAACTTTTTGGTTTATAGGCAGGAGCACCTGTTCCTATCAGAAATTCTTATGCATTTTTCAGAACTCTGTTCTGTGACTAGTTTGAGATAATAGTATTTCTGCTAATATCGTTCGTTATTTCAACAGCTAGCTTCGACTCGACTCATTAGCTCAGGATATGTTTTCTCTAAATCAGTGTTTTGAAAAACTATATCATAAATTGTTTTTAAAGCACACACAAAGCCAGATACTTGAATATGGTGTAATTCTAATTGATTTTTAGAACTAGAGTTTCACATTCAAATCGCAAATCATTCTCATCTCATAAGAAATTACTTTTGTTAGAATAAACTAATATATGTGATACTACAGAAGGAAAGAGATTTCCCCTTGTCAGTGAGTTCCTGTTTTATCCCTAATATAAACAAAGCTTCTATGTGTTAATGTGAACAACTTTAGGAATTTGTTACTAGAAATACAACTCTGGGAGGGATCAAAATAGCCTACTAAATCCCCAGGATTAGTAAAATTGCAATAGTTTAAAATGTGTTGTCTCCCATAAATAACTGCAATTGACAAAGAGTGCCAGAGTTAACTGAGTAATGATTTAAATAGTCCTTGGTCTTATTGTTCTTTGTGTACCAGGCTCAATGGGTTATTCTCTTCTTCTCCACTCCCTCTCCTCCCCCGCTCAACCATGTTTTTTACACACATACACCCAGTCTAATGTAAATCTGCTGTGTACTTGTATGCTGATCTGATCTTGAATGCTGAATCTGATGTTTGCTGGCTAGATTACTCTAACAAACACTGTGCACACAAGTAAAAGACCAAACTTATGTAAGATTATGATGTCTTTGAAAGATTCTTAGTGATCTTGCGGTGCTGTTTCAGGGTATTCTCTTAATTGGGATTCCATTTACATTAGTCAACTTGCTGCAACTTCTGAAAAATACCAATCCATGTTAGCACAAAACAGATGAAAGCTTCTCTAAGAAATAAGTTTCAAAACAGTCCTGGAAAGCTATTCTGTTGAACACACATGCTCATGCTATTACGTAGCCAGAGAGCTTTCTGTGTTTGAAAGAAGACTTCTTTAAATCAGAATTCAGTAGCCAAAACAAATTGGAACATTTCACTATTTAATAGGCTGTTATAGGCACTGATTAGTTTTATGTCTTCCAGATGTCCAACATAACAGTGACATACAGAGATGGGAGAGTGGCACAGCTGGAGCAGGTGTACATTAGGGGTAGCAAGATACGGTTCCTCATTTTGCCAGATATGTTGAAAAATGCTCCTATGTTAAAGAGTATGAAGAATAAAAACCAGGGTTCTGGGGCTGGACGAGGCAAAGCAGCTATTCTCAAAGCCCAAGGTGGGTACCTCTGTGTTTGGTCATTAAGTTTCCTGTCAATTAGGAAACTGAAGTGGCTGTCATTATCAAGAGTTCTGTAGTACAAAGAGTTCAGTTTATTACATCACTTAAGTATGAATGTCACAAGGAGTAAGAGGAGTTTATTTGGCAGGTATCCAGAGGGGAAAGTTAAATAACTGGGAAGTTTGCACTTTATTCCCCCCCCTTCCCCTCCCCCTTGATTTTATTGTCAAACTCAAATTTCTAGTGCTTTAGAAAATTTAAAAATAGTAATATTAGTTCAAAAATACTAGGGTCTTAAGGGTCTAGTTAGTTAAAATCTCAACTCAACTCAACCCTCCCACATAAAACTGAAGATTTTGTGCTCCCTGAGTATATGTGTGCAGATTCTGAAGCAGCTATTTGAATCATTGGGTTAATCATATCTACTTCAGTTATCATTGAAGAATTAATTTAAATGTAAAAATGGCACTTAAATACACAAGGATTTGAACTTAAGTCAGACTTCCTTTATCTTTGACTAGGCCTAAATTATGTGGATTGGTGCATAATGATTAAGAGCAAATATTTTGGGGCTGTTTATGCTTATTTAGATTACTTTGAAAAGGTTTTTGCTTATAGGGATTAAGATGTTTGTAGATCACTTCGAAATCTGTTCAAGTGTGGTATGTAATAATGGTGGTGATAAAATGTTATTTAAAAATGTCTCTGGCATGGCACTGACTTCTTAATCTAGGTCTCCTGGGCTGCAGGTTTGTGCCACTAAATGGAATGAATGCAAACGTTTCATTTTGTTTTACTGCCAATCTGTTGTTAGTTGCATCTGTTTCATGACTAGAAGCATGTAAACGTTAGCTTCTGCTCCCCATCATAGAGCTCTCTGGGAATTAGAGCAGTACATCTCCTTCTGAACTGTATAGCGTAACCTAGTTTCCACACTGCTAACCCAGCACAAGAGGCTAGATACTATAGTGATTGGCACTGCAAAAATATCTTTGATACAAGACGTGTAGATTCTTATAAACATGCAGTTATGTCAGATCCACATGATCCCTTATTTTTTTTTCTTCAGTGGCTGCAAGAGGAAGAGGTCGTGGAATGGGCCGTGGCAACATTTTCCAGAAGCGAAGATAATTTTGGACTTGACTTACCTTTTTTGTTTTTAAGGGTTTAATTTACTACGGGTGCAGCAGTTAGGTTTCTGTTTAAATAAAAATCTGTTTCTGACAAAATAGAAAGTTTTGTGTGCTGTTGTGTGTTGACAGGTCTTGCCTGGGACACAGCTGATGAGGTGATAGCTTTTTGTAGCGGGAAGAGTATTGTATATTGATAATAGAGCAGATTATTTCTAAATCCATCTTGAAATAGAGACTGGTACCTGGGTGTGTGCGTTCTCAGTATTTTTTGGTTAAATCTTGCATTTCAAGTACGTCTTTGTGTCCCTGGCTTTTCTCACTAAATCCTGTTGCCATCCACTCTGCAAAAAAGAGTTAAGTCACCATCTAGATGTATATTTTTAGGTAAGAGAGGATGCATTCTCAACTGGCAGAGTGTTTGTCTCTCCTGTTGAGTGTTTCAGGGGTTTGCTGTGGCCCTGTGACCCAATACAGGATCTTGGTGGGGATGACTGATTCATTGCTGACAGTTCTGTAAGCAGCATCTCTTGACTTTTTTCCTCTAAATCACCAAGTGAGCTGTTGAAGAAGCTGCTGTCTCATTTTGCAGTGCTGTTAGCAGTAGGGAGGGATTGGAAAAAAAGGCATGCAACAGGTCATGGGGAGGACAAGAGAATTTGGGGACTGGCTACCTTATTGGGTCATAATAATATGATTGAATAAATAGCTGGATGGCTGAGGATTTGCTGCCAAAAATATTACACTACATTCAGAGAAAGGGCCAAACTAAAAATAGAGCCTTGCATCTTACATATTACGAGAATGCATCCAGAATCTGAGTTGTGATCTTCTTTTCAAAGACAGAAATAGCATAGCATAGTTTCTGACTTTGCAAATATGAAAGGTTTGTCAGTCAGCATAATTTTATAGTTCCCTCCAATTCACTTTACTGAAATATTGATTGATGTATCTGGAGAGTTTAAAAGGAAAGACTGTCCTTGCTTAGGTTTCAGAGTGGTAGCTGTGTTAGTCTGTATCAGCCAAAAAAAAAAGTCCTTGTGGCACCTTGGAGACTAAAATTTATTTGGGCATAAGCTTTCGTGGGCTAAAACCCACTTCATCAGATGCATGCAGTGGAAAATACAGTAGGAAGATATATATATATATATATACACACACATACACAGAGAACATGAAAAAATGGGTGTTGCCATATCAACGGTAACAAGACTAATCAATTAAGGTGGGCTATTATCAGCAGGAGGAAAAAAACTTTTGTAATGATAATCCGGATGGCCCATTTCAAACAGTTGACAAGAAGGTGTGAGTAACAGTAGGGGAAAAATTAGCATGGGGAAATGAAAAACCCGTCGGAGAACACTTCAGTCTCCCTGGTCACTCAATTTCAGACCTAAAAGTCGCAATTCTTCAAAAACAGATTCCAACGAGAAACTGCAGAATTGGAATTAATTTGCAAACTGGACACCATTAAATTCGACTTGAAAAAGACTGGGAGTGGATGGGTCATTACGCAAAGTAAAAACTATTTCCCCCATGCTAATTTTTCCCCTACTGCTACTCACACCTTCTGGTCAACTGTGTGAAATGGGCCATCCTGATTATCACTGCAAAAGTTTTTTTCCTCCTGCTAATAGCCCTCCTTAATTGATTAGTCTTGTTACCGTTGATATGGCAACACCCATTTTTTCATGTTCTGTGTGTGTATGTATATCTATCTATCTTCCTACTGTATTTTCCACTGCATGCATCTGATGAAGTGGGTTTTAGCCCATGAAAGCTTATGCCCAAATAAATTTTAGTCTCCAAGGTGCCACAAGGACTCCTTTTTTGGGGGGGGGGGAACGACAGGACATTGCTTTGTTTCACAGCTGCTACCACCTGATCTGTAGTTGTAAGAGGTTAAAATAATCCTTTTGATTTGCTGTCGACATAATTTTTAGCAGTTTACCACGTTGAACTCTCATTCAGTTCTAAACCCATAAGTATAGGCTGAAGAATCTCCTTAATTTGCAGTCATATTTTGCATCTTGCTGACTTATTTCCAGTGATCTTGTATAAACTTGGCAATCCATTAGGGAACTACTATGCAATATTTTTTGTACCCTTCCCATTAGCAGGGGACTATGACTTTAGTTTACAGTTGCTTTTTTGTAACTGGAAGCATGTCATTCAGGCCGGTTGTGGGAAGCCTGCTGGAAAAACAAGCATCTTTTAGGGACAGGCTTGCCCGCATGGGGGACTGGGGCACAGAGAAGTAGGAACAGGAGGTTATTATCTGCAATTCTGGAAAGGGCAGCACACAAGCACAGGCTCCGGCCCCAGGGACTCAAAGCACTCTCCAGAAAGACCACCTAATCCCACTGAATCTCACTGAGAATCTCTATCCCCAGAGACCCTATCCCTCAATCCCACTGAACCTTATTGGACCCCCTACCCGCAGAGGGTATGTCTACACTGTAGCTGGCAGTGTGCCTCCCAGCTGGGGTAGACAGACTTCCACTAGCTCATCTTGAGCTAGCACCCTAAAAATAGTGGATGTCATGGCTCTGGCCAAGATTCAGACTAGCCACCCTAGCTCAGACGCTGGGGTCAGGTGCACTTGAGAACCTGAGCTGATGCCCAAGCTGCAATATCCACACCACTGTTTTTAGAATTCTAGCTTGAACTGGTCTACCCAGGGTCAGAGGTTCACTTCCACGTGCAGTGTAGACATACCCAGAGAGAGCCCCAACCCCATTGGATCTTGTGCACCCCAGATGTCGCCAATCCAATTCATTTGCCTTTTTAAAAAAACAACCAACCACCCAGTAAATAGGTCCATGAGTTAAAAATTGGATGTTTTTATGATGTAATAGGTCTACAAAAATTCCTAATTGTCTAGATCAGGGGTGGGCAAACTATGGCCTGCCAGCAGTTTTAATCCAGCCCTCGAGCTCCCACTGGGGAGCGAGGTCTGGGGCTTGCCCCACTCTGGCGCTCCAGCCAGGCAGCAGGGTCAGGGGCTCCACATGGCTCCCGGAAGCAGCAGCATGGCCCCCCTCCAGCTCCTATGTGTAGTGGCAGCCAGGGGGCTCCACTCTGCATGCTGCCCCCACCCCAAGTGCCACCTCTACAGCTCCTGTTGGCCGGGAGCTGCAGGGGCTGTGCCTGCAGATGAGGCAGGGTGCAGAGCCACCTGGCCTCACCTCCACGTAGGAGCTGGAGAGGGGACATGCCGCTGCTTCTGGAAGCCGCTTGAGGTAAGTGCTGCCTGGAGCCTGCACCCCTAAGTCTCTCCCAGCACCACTGCCCCAGCCCTGATTCCCCCTCTCAACCCCTTGATTCCAGCCTGGAACACCTTCCTGCACCTCAAACCCCTCAGCCCCACCCTAGAGCCCGCACCTCCCGGATCCCCCCCTCCCACACCATGAATTCCTTATTTCTGTTCCCACCCGAAGCCTGCACCCCCAACCAGAGCCCTCACCCCTCCCACACCACAACCCCAATTTTGTGAGCGTTCATGGCCTGCCATACAATGTCTGTTCCCAGATGTGGCCCTCGGGCCAAAAAGTTTGCCAACCCTGGTCTAGATAAAGTGCTTGAAAAAATTTCCTTGGGGACTGACAGACTCCCCCCGCCCTCTTTTTCAGACACTTTAACCATTGTGGAAACTAGATATGTTCTGTTTCAGAGTAGCAACCGTGTTAGTCTGTATTTGCAAAAAGAAAAGGAGGACTTGTGGCACCTTTGAGACTAACTAATTTATTGGAGCATCAGCTTTCGTGAGCTACAGCTCACTTCTGCATCTGATGAAGTAAGCTGTAGCTCACAAAAGCTTATGCTCAAATAAATTTGTTAGTCTCTAAGGTGCCACAAGTCCTCCTTTTCTTTTTGATATGTTCTGTGTATCTTGAAAAGTTCCTTCAGAAAGCACTTGATCCTTCAGACACCATGTGTAGAGTTTGTTGCTTTTCCACAGCACAATGCTTTGCCACAATGGCAGGCAGGTTATTTAAATTACTAAATACTTTCTCTGACTGTCCATGACTATGTAGTGTGAATACCTGTTCCATAGTTTGTGTGTACATATTAACCCACTGCATGTGGGACATGCACTTTTAGGTTTGGACCATTCCTGCTGCACCATGTTCTCTCAGAATAACAATTCTAGCAGGACTTGTCCTTCTCTGGGTTCCTGGTTGCAGATGTAGAAACTGGAGATAATTTTCTTGGTATAAGGTGGTAAACAACGTTATAAAGATCAGAGGTGTTAAAGGATTCAGTACTATGGTTTGGTTTGTCCACACATGCATGACCACAGTGTCATAAAGTTTGGTGAACTGGGGTGTGTGTGTGTAAAAAATACCATTCTTCTACATCCAAACCCAGTGGTGGTGGTAATACCCTAGTAGATCTCAAAGCACTTCACAATCTTTAATGACAGGTTTCAGAGTAGCAGCCGTGTTAGTCTGTATTCGCAAAAAGAAAAGGAGTACTTGTGGCACCTTAGAGACTAACCAATTTATTTGAGCATAAGCCTTCGTGAGCTACAGCTCACTTCATCGGATGCATTCAGTTACTTTACAAGTGGAGAACTAGTGATGACAAGGCCAATGAACAATTCATTTGCAAACTTAACACCATTAATTTGGGATTGAATATGGACTGGGAGTGGCTGGCTCACTACAAAAGCAATTTTCCCTCTCTTGGTGTTGACATCAATTACTGGGAGTGGACCACATCCACCCTGACTGAACTGGCCTTGTCATTGCTGGTTCTCCACTTGTAATGTAACACTCTTCTCTTCATGTGCCAGTATATTTATGCTTGTATCTGTAATTTTCACTCATTGCATTTGAAGAAGTGTTTTTTTTACCCACGAAAGCTTATGCCCAAATAAATCTTAGTCTTTAAGATGCCACCGGACTCCCCGTTGTTTTTGTGGATACAGACTAACATGGCTACCCCATCTGATATTAAAATATAATTTACTCTTTGAAAGCAGTATTTTTTAAAAGGGCATTTAAAGGAATTTGCCAACTGCCTCAAACACTTCCACGTCACAGACTGGGGTGGTGTAAATATAGACTCCACAGTCAAAGCAAAGAATCTTAATTTGCATA